GACATCGAAGACGATAGCGCGGGCGCCGTGGGCGTTGGCTCCGCTACCTCCGAAGAGGAACTTGCGATTGAAGATGATGGGGCCATCGAACTGGAAAGAACTGGCTCTGGCATAGCGGAAGAGACAGGCGTCTCAGGTGCCTGGCTAGGTTGCGGTGTTGGCGTTGGCATGACCGTGGTGTATGATGTTACAATCACTACAGGCGGTACTTGAAGAGATGCTGACGGAGATACTTCAGCTGGAGCATTCGATGGAGACGGTGTAGGTGCACCAGCCACTTCTGATGATAATGAAGAAGAAGCTACAGAAACGGACTCTTGCGCTTCGGATGGCATAGCTGACTCCTGTGCAGGTGTTTGGGGTGGCTGAGATGTCGCATAAATTGTGGTGTATTGTGTGACGACGATGCGCGATGTTACATCTACGGCATCCGATGCAGTCTCGGAAGGTACAGCAGCTGTTGGCGAGCCGGACGATATGGGAAGTGGGAGTGCCAGAGAAGTTGAATTGACCAGAGGTGTGGAGGATGACGCCTGTACAACCGACTCGATCATGGAAGGAGTACTTGTAATCACCGAACTAGCAGTAGTATTGGCAACCGGCAAACTTGAAGGTGCTGCCGCGGGATGGGTGAAGCCAGACAAGCCTCCAGTGGTGGAAGCTAGGACCGCGCTTGTCGCCGATGCAGGAGGAGTAGCAAGCGAAGTAGACGTCTCTTCCTCTATGGGTGAGTAAGTGAACAATGGAATTTGCTGACTTGTCTGGCTAGCTGTCTTGTTATCGACCGCCCCTACTGAACTCGACAAAATTCCAGTTTCGATGGCGGACGAGATTGGCACACTGACGCTTTCTGTTGGCGTAGGTTCCAGACTTTGTGTCACTGAAGTAGTGGCTACTGCGCTTGAACTCTCCTCCGTACTTGGCAAAGCTGATGGCGTGATATATGAGGTAGAGAAGACTGTCTGTGGTTCTTGTGTTACAAGTGGTTTCCCGTCGGGGAGGACGAAAGTGATAGCTGGTGCTATCGAAGTCAAGATAGTTTGTTGGATTGGCTCCACTATAATAGCAGTTTCTGCTTCCGCAATTTGTTGTGTTGATGTTGAAAATGCGGCAGAGGTAGTGTTAGCATAACTCGTAAAGCTACACGAAGTCAGCTATTATTCTCGCAATATTTGAGTGAGCTTCTTACAGTTGCCTCCGTTGATGCTTGGGGACCGGCCCGGCGATTATTGATGTTGAATAAGCTGCCAGCAGCAGAATAGTGGAGAAGATAGCCATCGTCAAGACGACTCTTTATTAGGAGTGGATGAACGAAGGAAAGACGGCGCTTGCAGTCAAGATGGAAAAACGATGGACTGAAGGACAAGACTGAGATAGTGAACGATTAAGAGAAACGATCGGCAAGGAGAAACAGACGGCAAGGAAAGAGAACAAGGAAAAGAACGAGAATCGTTCGTCTCAAGCAAACTACAGTCTAGACGTTCAGATGGCTACGGTGAGGGCCTCACTGCTGAGCGGGCTGGCAGCGGGTTTTGAAGCTGCATTAGCCGCCATGAGCACGGTTTGAGTATACAATGGAACAAAGAGTAGTACTGGCCCAGCATTGTCGCAGTGGCCTGTAATTTGGACGTGTCACGGGGGGCTCAGAGGAAAGTAGCGCTGGTGAGTGGAGGAGTGGCTGTGGTGCTCTGGAGCCGTGACATGGTGTTTCATCCGTGGACCAATGAGACGGCGACATGGCATGATAGAGCCACGACCTCCAAGCGCCTGGCCGAGCGACTCTGCCTCCGGTGCAGAGCCTCCAGATCCCCATATGCCAGAAATAGCCTTTCGGAATGAGGCTCGATTACGCGACCCGAAGCCGTTGAGTGCTGCCGCTTGCCGCTTGTTCACGCAACACACTGCCGGCTCTCGGCTTTGCGATGCGTTGGAGACGTGGACCCTGCAGGATTTCTCCACAACACCGCATCTCAACATTCACGATAGACTGCCAGCTAGATGCCTGCAGGTAGCAGGTATAGCTATCGACGATTTTCATAGTGGATCGAGATGTGTTGGCGGGTTTGCACGTGCCTGATGTTCATTCGTCTGGGCGGTGGGTGGTTGCTCAGGTAACAGGCGAGTTTCGACAAGGAAGAACAACACAGACCGCCATTCCGCTAGGACCAGGCCCTTTGCATTGGCAGAATATCGCCAGAGCTTCGACGTCACGTACGGTAGGTCCAGCATTCTTTTCTCTGTAGACGTAGACTTTTGTTTCTCTTTTATCGTGCCGCCTTGCATCCTCGGTCTTCACCATGAGCGTACGCGTCGTCGCGAGGATACGTCCTCTTCTGAAACAGGAGCTCGACAAAGACACCATTGTCACCGCAGAGACATTGGACGGCGAGACTACCCCGGCCGTCGTACGGATACCGAGTCCCAAGAACGAGGCCGAGTCCTTCAGCTTCCAATTCAGCTCTGTGTACGAGCAGGACGCGACACAGCAGCAGCTTTTTGACGCCGAGAGTGAGTTCGCGATGGGACGCGTTTCGGGACGGAAGCTGACTCCAGGCTAGTCGCGCCGACGGTGAAGCATCTCTTCAATGGCTTTGATCTATCCATCTTTGCGCATGGCTGCACCGGCACCGGCAAGACACATACGATGCGAGGAGGGAAGTCGCTGGCAGACCGCGGTGTCATCCCAAGGCTGTTGAGCTCAATATACCGGCGATGCAAGAAGATCGAGAAAGACACGGCCGGTGCCACACAAGTCGAGGTTGCTCTGGAGTACTTCGAGATCTACTGCGATCGCGTCTACGATCTGTTCGAACCCCCGGAGAAGCGCACCCCGTCTGGTCTGCCCATCAGAGACAACCACGGCAAGACTGTCGTCGTTGGTCTTACCGAGAAGCCATGCACAACACTGAAGGAGTTTGAGCAGCTTTACGATCAAGCCAACATGAACAGGTCCACCTCTGCTACCAAGGTTAGAGTCCACACGCGTCTGAGATAAACACTCCTAACGATACTGCAGCTCAACGCACACTCCTCCCGGTCGCATGCCGTCCTCTGTGTAAAGATCACGCAAACCACCGAAGAAAGTGTTCGCGTCAGCCGAGTATCTTGCATTGATCTTGCAGGATCCGAAGACAACAGACGAACCGAAAACAACAAAGAGCGCCTCGTCGAGAGTTCGGCCATCAACAAGTCGCTGTTCGTGCTTGCACAATGCGTCGAAGCCATGAACAAGAAAGCCAGCCGGATTCCATACCGCGAGTCCAAGATGACGCGAATCTTGTCCCTAGGTCAGAATAAGGGCTTGACTGTCATGATTCTGAACCTTGCCCCAACCCGCGCATACCATCTCGACACAATCAGTTCTCTAAACTTCGCTAGCCGGACGAAGAAGATCGAGGTCGCAGAGGTGGAAAACGACCCAATGTACAAGACGGCAGTTAAGCCATTGGCGACAACCACGAGCCTTGGTGGAGCAACCATGGCACGGCAACCGCTCAGATCGCTCGCGGCCAAAGCCAATGCGAACATCCCAGAGGCAGAGAAGCAGAAGAAAGGGGAAAAGCCTATCAAGGCCTTCTCTGTATACTCTGATTCTCACAAAGCTGCTCCTCGTGTGACTAACCTTGCACAAAACCAAGGAGTACGGAGAACAGAGGGTTCCAAGCGAGCAGCTGAACCTAGCACCACCTTTGCGACCCGACCGACAAAGGCATTCCGAACTGGGGATAACACCTCACGGATACCGAGTAAAGAGCCTGCCCTGACAAAAGCCTCGATTGAAGCTCTCATCGCACAGAAGGTGGACGAGGCTCTAGCAGCCAAGGCGTTGCAAGATGCTGGCACAGCTGCGCCAGCGCTTTCTGCAGAGCTGCAGAAGCGTTTGGATGAGCTCGAGCACCGCATCGATGCACACGAAGAGGATGGAAAGTCGCAGGGCTTGCAGTTCCTGCTAATGGCCAAGCAACACCACATGCGTGGAGAAGATACCAGTGCACTGAGAATGTACCAACTGGCACAGCCGTTTTTCCCTGGCAACGCAAAGCTAGAGTCCAAGATGAAAACACTCGAAGACCGAATACGCGCCAAACGGGAGGAAAGCATCAAGCACGTCTCTGCTCCCGTTGAACTCCCGTCGCACACTGCAGCCCCCGTCACAAACGTTCTCATGGCCCCCCTGAAAGCTGAAAAGAAGACCCCAAAGCCTAGGATAGTCTACAGAGATGAGTCCGAAGATGACGATGGATTTGCTCCCCCGCCGCCCTCTGACCACGAAGAATCCTACGCCTCCGACACTAGCTTCCAACACACCAGCAAACCCAAAGTCACCCGCAAGCCAAAGAAGACTACCAAGAAACTGCCCATATTCCGTGACGACGCCGCTGCTACTGCTACCATCGATCTACCTGTCCATTCCGCCGCTCAACAAACACCTCGCACTTCGCACCTTCTTAAGATTATCAACTCACGAGACGTCAACCAGATCAAAGCGCTAAAGGGTGTGGGTGCAAAGAAAGCGGATAACATCGTAAACTGCCTGGTCGAAATGGATGATGCAGAAATTATGGATCTGGAATCGCTGGCTATGCTTAAAGGTGTTGGAGGCAAGACGGTGGATAACATGAGGATGGGGTTGAGCCTTAATACTAGTTACGATTTCTGAGCTTAGGCTCGCTTTTTGCTGTTCGTTCTTACCAAGCATGGTGTTCACGGCGTTTTTGGCAGCGCGCCTGTCGTGAGCGCATGTTTGCATTGCATAGAAATGGCGTTTTGGATTTGGTAGTAAAGACTGCCTTGCATAGTTTGGTCCTTGGAATTCCGACTCTTCATCACCGGTGCTTTCCGTAGAAGATGTATTATTCACTCAGGTTGTCATAGAGGTGAAGGGATAATAGCAAATCGTTCAAGATATCATTATCATACAGGATCATAGCCTCAATCTCAACCCAGAAGAAAGTAACCGCACTCGTTCAATCAAACTCGATCACCCATTAGGGAAGCGACTAAAACGGCCAAACCCAGTCCTCAGTCTCCTTAGGGTCCATGCCCTCGTGGTACGCATAGTTCTTGGCCTTGATCTGCTCATCAAGTAACTTCTCCCTCGTTGCCGCACCCTTGTTACCCAAGCTGGGGATGTTGTCGAGTGCGTCAATCGCCAAGCTGTAGCGGTCAGTACCATTCCTGATAGCCAGCTCGAGAGGAGTGTCAATGTTGCCCTTCTCCCTGTATCCGCGGACGATCAGGTTCTGCTGGCCCTTGCGTCCATATGTCAAGCGGTGGATCAGCCAGGGGTAGGAGTGGAAGTTGAAGATACATGGTACGTCATCGGTGAAGATGGCCTTGTACTCGTGTGCCTTGAGACCGTGAGGGTGCTGCTCCTCGTCGATGAGCTTGAAGAGATCGACAACGTTTACGAAGCGGATCTTGAGATCAGGCAGATGTGTGCGTAGCAATGCTGTCGCGGCAAGGGATTCGTGTGTGGAAACATCACCACACGATGCCATGACAATGTCAGGCTCTTGATCCTTGTCATTACTCGCCCATTCCCAGATACCAACGCCCTTTGTGCAATGGGCGATGGCTTGCTCCATTGTGAGATATTGGAGGTGCTCTTGCTTGTCGGCAACGATGACGTTGACGTAGTTTTCGCTACGAAGGCAGTGATTCATCGTTGAAAGTAGGCAGTTGGCGTCTGGCGGGAGGTAGATACGGACAACTTCAGGACTCTTGTTCGCCACTACGTCGAGGAATCCAGGGTCCTGGTGAGTGAATCCGTTGTGATCTTGTCGCCAAACAGTCGCAGTACTAAATGTAGGTGTACGAAGTCAGTCTATGTCCCATATGCTTTTCGTACAGAGACACTTACAGCAGAATGTTGAGTGAAGCAATCTTCTGTCTCCACTCGACTTCGAGGCACTTCTCAATCCATTTACAGTGCTGGTTGACCATGGAGTCAATAATGTGGATGAAAGGCTCGTAGCTGTTAAGCAGACCGTGTCGTCCAGAGAGGATGTAACCCTCCAACCAGCCCTGAGCAAAGTTAGTATTACGGTATTAAAGAGGTTTGTGTATCTTACCTCTACAGTGTGCTCAGACAGCATCTCCATAACGCGCCCTTCGTAAGCTAAGTTACCACCATCCTCGTCCTCCTCAAAGTACTCGCCCATCCAGACCTTTTTGCCTGCCTCGTAAACCTTGCCGAGCTTGTTGGATTCAGTCTCGTCAGGACCAAATAGACGAAAGTCTTTCTGGTTCTCTTTGATGATGTCGCGCAAGAAGGCCGCGCAGTTGGCCATACTACCGACCTTGGCGACACCACCCTTGGTCACCTCGATAGAGTAGTCACGGAAGTCGGGTACGTGAAGCTTGTGGCGGATAAGACCACCGTTTGTGACAGGGTTGGCGCTCATCCTCCTGTTGCCAGTGGGGGCCAACTCTCTAAGTTCAGGAACAAGCTTGCCGTTCTTGTCGAAATGCTTCTCAGGCTCGTATGAGCGCATCCACTCTTCCAATATTTTGAGCTGAGACTTATCCTTGAGAACATTCGTAAGAGGGACTTGATGCGCACGCCAGAAACCTTCCAAGAAGTGGTCTCCATCGAGCTTCCTGGGTGCTGTCCAGCCCTTGGGTGTACGGAGCACGATCATGGGCCAACGCGGCCTGAAAGCTTTGCCCGAGTCTCTAGCCTCTTTCTGATATTCGCGGATCTTTGTGACACATCGTTCCATCGTAGCGGCCATAGCTTGGTGCATCGATGGGATATCGCTGCCCTCGACGAAATAGGGTGTCCATCCGTAACCAACGAAGAGCGCTTCGAGCTCCTTGCGGCTCACGCGAGCGAGAACCGTGGGGTTGTTGATCTATGCAGTATTAGCCAAATCCTTCCACAATGTTAAGTGCCATACCTTGTAGCCATTCAGATGTAGTACGGGCAAGACCGCACCATCCGTGATCGGGTTCAGGAATTTGGTTGAATGCCAGCTCGTAGCAAGGGGACCAGTCTCAGACTCACCGTCTCCAACCATAGTCAGAGCGATGAGATCTGGGTGATCAAAGACCGTTCCGAAAGCGTGAGAGATAGAGTAACCTAGCTCACCACCCTCATGCAAGCTACCAGGTGTTTCGGGTGTGGCATGAGATCCAATTCCACCGGGGAACGAGAAAGATTTGAAAAAGCGCCTCATACCCTCCTCATCCTCGCTCTTGTCAGGGTAGACCTCGGAGTAGACTCCCTCGAGGAAACTGTTTGAGAGAACAGCGGGCGCGCCATGGCCAGGGCCAGAAATGAAGATAGCGTCCAAATCGTACTTCTTGATAAGACGGTTCTACAAAGTTACAAAGTTAGCTTGTTACGATTCGAGAACCGCATATAATTGTTCATACCATGTGAATCCATGTGAAGCTCTGTCCAGCATCCGATCCCCAATGTCCCAAAAGGCGTCGCTTGAGATGGTCCAGAGTGAGTGGGTCGCGGAGAAGAGGGTTCCTCCGAAGATAGATCATGCCCAAGCACATGTACAGAGAAGCATGGAAATAATCGGTCATCTTCCGCACCTCATCCTCGCTGAGCGGATGTTCGGTGACTGATGATCTTGCGGGCCCGTATGGGGAAATGCTGAGGTGCTCGACATCTTCAACTACTGTCTCTGGGTCTACTGGAGCTTTCGCTACCATGGCGTCCATGATCACAGGTTGTCTGAAAGGTCCGACCTTTCTTCCGTTCAGGTAAGGTCTCGAGTGCCGCTAGGTCTGGGAGAGGTGGCTGAATTGCGTGGGATATAGAGGCTCCAAAGAGCAATTGCAAGCAGAAAATACGTGTAGAGATTGAGGAGTAAGGGTTTCAGATAATGTTGGAGAGTAGAGGTAGAGGACCTTTAAGCAGTCGCGCGGCAGTAGTCGCGGTTGCAAGCTTGGAAGCTGGTCAGCGGCAGAGCCGGAGACGCTCTCCTGATCCATTGAGCTCTGTCATTGGTGCTCTGCACGTAATCATGCTACTGCAGCGCGATACCATCATAGCTACAAATTCCTTTTGGGTCTGTTTGTTGGTTGCGTCATGGCCTGATGGACCGAGGTGGGGTCAACCAACAGTCACGCTAGTGGCGACGCGTTCCTGTCAATCCTCGCCATCTGCCATACATGGCGTGATATATGTCTGAGCTGACTGAGCCGGCGACGAAGAGTACCTGGATACCGGATGCTTGTCTTTCCGCTTGTAAAATAAGAATTGTGCTCAAGTTGGCGTGGCAAAGTTGATGCGCCAGTTCTGAGTATACCTTTAGCATGCTCTCAACAGCGGAACGCGGCGGACAAGCAAGCCTCCACTTCCCATCCAACCCTGGTTTCGGTGTCGGAACCTTTATCCGAGCGGACAATGATCTACGCAGGCATCTATCGCAAGTTTGCGACTAAAGCATCTTTGTACAGCCTGGGCAGACTCGTGGCCTCAGGGAATGCTTCAAACCCCAATCATTGCTACAATAAACCCTGGATCAAGTGAACAGATAACGTATCTCATTGCTCTAAAATATCTATAGTATATCCTTCAATGCATTCCATAATCTCCTTCCGCAGCAATCGTCCTCTGGCATTCAGCAAAGATGGCAGCCTGTCTTGCTACATCAGCAAGTCGCCCAACGACCAGCTTATTGCCATCGAGGAAACCATATAGCGCATACGGAATGTCGACCTCGTTACAGAACTCCTGAACCAACTTCTGGGTTTGTCTTAGGTTATGACGGGGGATCCGTGGATACAGATGGTGGATGGCCTGGAACTGAAGGCCACCGTGGAAGAAATCCAACCACTGAGGGCAGTCAACATCCATCGTTGTGCGAAGCATCTTCTGAGCAAATGACTCGTGGATACCTAGATCCGCTGTACTCATAGCGAAATGGGACAACGTGATTTGCACATGGAGTGGAGACGTAAGTGCGTGGGCAATCATAACAAACCAGAACCGACTCCAGTTGTCAGGTATGGACTTGTATACCACTCCGTAGCCGAACCAGGTCCAAAAAAATGCCATGCCTATCAACTCAAAGTATCGGTGCCACCATGCAGGCCCTTTCTTGGGGCCCTTTCCAAGGAGCAGATACATCCAAGACAATCTATACAGATTGAAGCGTGCGAACAGCATGATCGGGTAGTAGGTGTAGTGTTGAATTCGGATCATGAACTTTGCGAAGGCATCGTATTCCATGACCCACTCGTAAAAGGTCGTGGTGAGACTCTCCATAAATCGATGCGTGATAGAGAAGAAGGGAATGTATTGAATATCGGGATCGTGTTCGGGGTGGTTCGTAACAAGATGGTGCACGTTATGGTTGTATTTCCACCAGCAAGCGCTCAACCCGCCTACGTACGAGGCAATGAACATTGCGATGGTGGAATCGGTCGTAAAATCGTGGGTGATGCCCATGTGTCCGGCATCATGGACCGTGAACGTAAGCTGGTGCCAAAGGCATGCAAGCGGGATGGCACTAGTAATATACCAGCCAGATGATAACAAAAACAGGAATCCGGCTAAGAAGGACCCATAACGTAGGCATTCGATACCGTAGGCGGTATAGTTGCAATCGTAGAGGCCTTCCTGCTTTATCCGCTCTTGTAGCTCGCGGTACTTTTGTGTGATGTGATCTTGGGTGGCTGGATCTAGAGACGGGTATTTGGCCTTGTCGAAATTGAGCTCTTCCTGAGTCCGTCTATCAAGTACTGACATCTTCGGAGCGACGACATCTTCTAGTTCGACCGATGAGACACTAGAGCTTGAGGAGGCTCTACCAATGTCGGCTCCGTTGCGCTTGCGAATTGAAGCGGAAGATCGGTCCACCGGTTCAAAAAGAGGGCTGCTGTTGGCAGAAGAAGCTGAGCTTGCAGTCTCCTGCTCTGAAACCGAACATGATTCCATGTATTCTTCCTCAGAAAGCTTGTCCAGCTCTTCCTGTGTCCTGAACTTTCCTCCTTGCATCGGCGGTAGGAAGTTGGTCCATCGTCCTTCGATGCGGCCGATTTGGTAGCGGTTCATGAGCTCGAGCGTTTGGGCAGAGTGGAATCTGAGTATAGGTCAGCAGACAGCCTTGTTGGGTGGTTAAAGCAAGCATACCGAGTGACCTCGTCTGTTGCATCGCGTCCCACCATGTGCCGAATGGCTTTATCACCGCCAGGGTGGTAGGGTAGCCATGCATCTACCTTCAAGACCTTGTTGTCTACGATGACAATTGAGCGGCCATTGGCAATCTGAGCTTCGATCTCTCGCCGACTAAAGACCTTGGACTTCCTGTCTGCCCGGGCGGCCATGATGCGATGCGGTGTGGTACGCGAAGGGTATACAGACGGGTGTCCAGCTGCGGCTTCAATTGACAAAGGAATTTCAAGATAGACGCGGCCAGACCATAACTCTGCGGTGTCTCAGAAGCAACTAGTTTCGCGGTGAGTTGCGCCGGAGCCAGCCAGTGGAACAGGAGAGGATGAGCTGATAAACTTCCGAAGCTTGCCTGGGCCCTGCACGCCAACGCCCCCACGTTGCCCTCGCCACACCCCCAGAGCCGCACCCAGAAGCGGCATCACATGCCATCGCAAGAACATCTCATGGCGTGAAGGCTCCGGATGCCTAAGCAGGAGCTCACCAAGTTCCACACGTGAGGCCAGAGAAATCTCAATGTCTTGGAAAGCATAAATCTGGCAGGTGCCCACTTGAGCCTGCTGTCGCCCGCTTTCTGTCGGCAAACTCCGACACTCCTTCACTCTGCCGCGCCTGCCACTACATGACCATTCTGTGCTGACTAACGTCCCTCGACTTCTAATCTTTCTGTTCGTTCCATAGTCCTTTTCGAACAACTTGCTCAACACAACCTTCATTCCGAATATCAAAAGCTCGACAATGACTCAAGACATCAAAGAATTGGCGAGGCAATGGCTGGAGCTCGACCAAGACAAAACGACTACAGATGAAATCTACAAGCTGCTAGTTGATGGCGATACCGACGAGCTCGAGAAGCGACTTCGACATCGCATCGCTTTCGGGACAGCTGGACTCAGAGGGCCTATGCAGGGCGGGTTCGCTTGCATGAACTCTCTGACGGTGATACAAGCTTCCCAAGGACTTGCAGCTTACCTGCTCAAAACTGAAGAGAATGTAAAGAGAAGGGGTGTGGTAATTGGCAGAGACGCGCGGCACAATTCAGAAAAGTTTGCCAAGCTCACCGCAGCCGCTTTTGTTGCAAAAGGCATCAAGGTGTGGTGGTATGAGGAACCCAGCCATACGCCCATGGTTCCCTTTGGCGTTCGCGAACTCGAAGCCGCTGCTGGAATTATGATTACAGCCAGTCACAACCCGGCCAAAGACAATGGATACAAGGTCTACTGGTCAAATGGCTGCCAGATCATCCCTCCACACGATAGTGGAATTGCTGATTCCATCATGGAAAACCTGAAGCCTGTCACTTGGGATACGACGCTGGTAGATTCTTCGCTCCTTGTGGAAGGAAGTCTAGGACTGGTACAAGACAACTACCATAGAGCCATCCTTTGCGCTGCGCAGCCCGAGCATGTCCAAGTCAAGATGGACCCAGAGCTCAGATTTGTGTATACCCCTATGCATGGTGTTGGCCTTCCCGCCATGCAGCGATGTGCAGAGACACTTGGTGTGGCCTCGCAAATGACTGTGGTGGAAGCTCAAGCAAAACCAGACCCTGACTTCCCCACCGTGAAGTTTCCAAACCCTGAAGAGAAGGGTGCGCTTGACCTGGCAATCGAAACGGCCGACAAGTCATCTACACGCCTCATCCTCGCTAGCGATCCTGATGCAGACCGACTCGCGGCAGCAGAGAAGGTAGGAGACAGATGGCATATCTTTAGCGGAAACCAACTTGGAGCGCTGCTCGGATCGTATCTCTTCGAACGTTACCCGGAGACAAAACCACGAGAGAAACTTGCGATGCTGGCTTCCACCGTCAGTTCCAGAATGCTCGCGGCTTTGGCGAAGAAGGAAGGCTTTAAGTTTACCGAGACTCTAACCGGATTCAAGTGGCTTGGAAACGTCACGCGACAACTCGATAGCGAAGGCTACGATGTCGTCTACGCGTTCGAAGAAGCCTTGGGATACATGATTCCACAAACCGTACATGACAAGGACTCCATCAGCGCAGCAGCAGTATTCCTCACTGCCGCGTCGCATTGGGCCACGCAAGGTCTTACTCCATACGCCAAGCTGCAGCAACTCTACGAGTACCTTGGCTACTTTGAGGACGCAAATACCTATCTCGTATCACCATCCCCATCCGTGACGACGTCCGTGTTCACAGCCATCCGCGCACTGGGCAGCCCGCACCCCACCACCATCGGATCCCGCAGGATTCTGCGTTGGCGAGATCTGACCCTAGGCTATGACTCAAAGAGCAAGGACCACAAGCCCGATCTGCCGGTAGATGTCACTAGCCAGATGATAACATGTGAGCTAGATGACGGGGCGGTATTCACAGTCAGAGGAAGCGGAACGGAACCGAAGATCAAGCTTTACATTGAGTGTCAAGGCAAGAGCAGCCAGGAGGCGAAAAAGGGTGCTAACGAGATATTGGATGATCTTCTGCGGGAATGGTTCAAGCCTGAGGAAAACGGCTTGAGACTTGCTTAGAGTAGGATCATATGAATTAGCTAGCTTCAATACTGTTAAGAATATTGTAGGTATGTCCATCTGCAAGATTGGAAGAGGGCGCCATTGTGAGTGCCAAAGTACTATTGATTGTCTCCAGAGCTCATCTCAGGTGATAGTGTCAAGCAAGCGCATGTTCTCATGTTTATAGAATAGACACCGTTCGTCTGCTCCTTTATCCTCTGATCCAACTGGATTGGGACATCGTTTTATATTGGCGAACCACTTACCTTCACCCGCATCTTCACCTGGAGTTCTCAAGCCACAAAATTTCCACACAACTGCGTGTATTTCCAATACACCATCCTACCTTCTACTTCCCTACCACCCAGTTACTCTCTGCACGTAAGACATCTCATTTACCTCACAAATACGTCTTGTCCAACTGCTTCCGACGTGCCTAACGCCTACTATGGCAACTACACTCATCGCTGACCTTCTGACCTCCTGGAACAACCCAAACGAGGCAGTCGACGTCGAAGTATCCACCGCACCGCAGACCTACCAATGGACCAAAGGACAAGTCAGGGCCCAGTTCCGATCCAACAATCAACCCCTCATATGCTGTCCTTTTCTCCCGGCCCCTGTCATCCCGACCACTGTCATGAACATTAACTATTCACATAATAACTTACCTGCTCTCCAATACTACATGGACCAAGATCCATTCTGGCTTGCCCATCGGATGCTCTTCCAATCCCAATTTGTGTCAGCCGCTCGCTTCACCACTAACGAGTGTTACTTTCTCGCGGAGGAGGGCGAGCCAACTGTCCAGTTAAATGGAAGGCCGTTGTCCGAGGCGGAACGCTGGCAGCTTCATCATGAGCCTGAAAAGATGGATATGAAAGACTTCCAGCCCACGGAACTAAAGATGAAGAAGGGGGTCGTGATGAGGATTCCGCCATACACGGTGTACTGTTTCTTGGTGGCGGACGATTCACTGATCACGGCGGGAGGTATCGTTTCGAGGGGTTTCCAGGCCGACAACGGGATGATGGAACGATGGGCTCGTTGGACTTTGAATAGGAAGATTGAATGACAGACGGTGTTGTTTGGTTTATTACACAAGCTGGAGACATTTTAACATGCAATAGTGAGCAATTCATGTATACTTGGGTAATGCTCAATGTGAAAGTTATAACCTCAGAACGCCAGTTAGTAGAGTGGTACATGGTTGCAGAATATTTGTTTCAGCATCCATAACAATACCAAAATGTGCACGCGACAAGAATCTTTGGTGTGATACGTAAGTGCTTCGCGGCCTGCAATGTAATGGTGTGTGGGTGCGCATCATGTATGCAACACAGAGAAGATCTGGGTCACAAGACGCGAGATGCGCCCTACTCATCATAAGATGGGACGAGCTCCGGCAGATTCTTGTATCGCAGAATGATGTATCATTTCATCGACTAGCGCCCGCCTTCCCGTTCGAGACCCTGTCAGATGCATGGTAAACGCAGCGCTGACGACAACTAGTCACATATAGTTTCTGCCTTGGACAGATTTGTCGGAAACCGAGGCTGATGTCTGGGTCCAAACTTGTCGCCATACGCAGCTATCATGGTCGGGCCTGCTGGACGTGCAGATGCAATGCAGATGCGCGACGGTCCTCATCGAGTATTGGCCAATGAGCGGCATCCCATGTGGATTAGAAAGATGCCAAGTATAGGGTCATTGCTGCCTTGACAAATGAGGAACCAGCATGCAAGGCTGGAGAGGCTGTGAGGAAATCGCTTTTTCGCATATGTATCAGGGTTGCTATGGAGGGTTTACTTTTTACTCTTCGCAAGCCGCGCATGGCGTTTATAGCCTCGCTGGATTCGATGGATGGGTAGCCAACGGCCAGGGTGTTCGGCCGGCCGTCAGCTAGACAAGGTAGCCGGAGGAATGCGGCGCCTCAACCTATCAAGTCGTCGATTTTGTATCGATAGCCCATCCCGCGCGTACCCAGACTCCGGGGAAGTGTTACAGATGCCCGTCACTAAGCCGTTGCTGGTTGCATGCATGCGTGCTAAAGAGTCACGGCCCAAAAGTATCCACGGCCTCTTTCCCCTCTGCATGCCCACCAGTTCTGTCGCGTCAGTCGCGCGTCCTTCAATCTCCGCCCTACCTGTGTATAAAGACCCTTTGCATCCCCCCGCAGTGACGAGCCGGTTTTCGCAAAGTGCTCGCAGAATCTTCGGTACGCGCTCGGCCCCACCAACATCTTTTCCTGAAATCGTGCTAACGGGAGAGAAGCCTCGACAGGAACAGCGACATGTCTCACTCTTAGACTTTTCGCGTCCTCTGCGGGATGCTCAGCCATCAACACCAATGGCGGGTTTCGTGGACCCAAATCCAAACATCACGCGACAAAGCAATTATACACCCTTACCACCACCAACACCTTCGAGACGATCGCTTCCAGACGGGCCATGCAACTATCGCGACGCGAATGTAGGACAATGTGGATGTGATCAATTCTGGGACAAGCTCAGTGCTGAGCTGCACGATGAGAGCGCTGAGCACAGGCCTAGCAGTGAGCGCTCAACGTGGTGTGTTTGTGGGCACCATGCCTGCTTCCATTTGAGGGCATCGCGTGCGCCAGAAAAACCTGCGCCTTTGACAAATGCGCCGTTTCAGTCGCTTCATGTGAGAGGTGAAGAGCGGGCCCAATCGCTGCCACGTGCGCCGTGCGACATGAATGCTGGTTTGCGACAATTGGAAGACAACCTTCTGTCCGAAGGGGGCCAGGCCAAATACAATGAGCGCATGCACCAGCTGCCTAGTCCCGGTCAGCGACTCTTGCAACAGTCTACTCACACCAACTCATTCAGTCGCTTGCTACAAAGTCAGGACACTCCTTCACAAACCAGCACGAGCGGCCTTCCTGGAATTCCTTCAGTCTGCTTGCTATCTCATGAACGGCGCCCAGTGGCTAACAACGAAGCTAGGAATGGCGCAAATCAGTCGCGCCAAACGGTGGCGGGTCTTGGTCTTTCTATGATGAACCTGCAGAGCATGGATCGGATTAATCGTCAGCAGTCGCCCACACCGACAATACCCGACGATATCAACATCGTTCATGCCCCGCGAAAGCCCTACAACGAGCCGAGTAACTCCCCAGACAGGGCTCACACGGTCCAAAATGAAGCAAACATTATCAGTCCATCGCGCGGCATTCTTGAGCAAGTCTTCGAGTTCAACCGCAACTTCCAGCCTGACGAGCCCGGCGACACCATACCGAATACCTACAATCCCGACGACTACATACAGAGCGCTACCGAGGTGGCTACTCCAAGTGTTGGGAACACACCAGATCTGAGTGCTGCGGATCGGGCCGTACAGGATGGGAAAGATATGATTGAAGCAATGAAGCGGATAACTTCGGAAATCCAACAGCAATCCGCTGGCTCATCAGAAGGACAGACATATGCCACGGTTCCCACTCAGCTCTTGCCAAAGAACACTCCTGCAACGCCACAGGAACAGCTGCAAACCCTCCTCCAATCGGCTCCTGCACAAGGCCTCCAGAAGCTCGTCTCCTACCTTGCTCCTCTTCACAACCTGTTAAACTCCATACCTAACGTAGCTAGCACTATGCAGGAACTCGGCAGCCGCCTGGATTTGCTGGAGAATGGATCCTTCAATTATGTCCAGCCCGAAGATCTGAATCAGACCTTGGAGATGTATGAGGGTAGGCTCATTGATGTGGAGCATCGTTTAGACGAACATGAACGGATGCATCAGGCATTGGATGACCAATCTAGCAACAGCTCTTTTGGCAGAAGGCGCGTAGATCATGTTACGACATCGTTCGGCTCCGTAGACTCGACCACTTCTTCAGCCCTTGTTCTCGCAGCCATGGATCGCAAGGATACTGAGATGGAACTTGACAACATCAAGGACAGATTGAATGTGTTGGAAGCTGCAGCGCCACCCACATCGCTGCAACCTTGGGAGGTGGAAGTCGTCCTGTTACCATGGGGCCCTGACCTGAAAGGCATCTGGTTCTCGCCTGAAGAACCAATGCATGATGTAACCAAGACAACACAGAATTCCGAAGAGTGGACTCAAGCCCGGACGTCCAAGGCTATTACCATACCATTTCTCGGACGAGACACAGATTCTAGCCCCCATTCTGTAACCCGAAACTCAAATAAAAACTCCGTGCCAGGTCAGACTGAGAACGGATGGAGTAGCCAAGACATCAGTAATTGGGCTTCAGGGTCTACCGACGACTGGTTATTCCCAAAAGCCTGTGGAAGTAACAATCTAGTCTACAAGCGACTCCAAAGCAGGGGTTTCGTGCGGGATGTCACATTCAGAGGCTCTAGTGCCAAAGACATCCAAGAGGCTTTGTCACACGCCTTTTCCGACGTGTTTGATTATCTGCAGTACGATGACAGCGACGAAAATCCTATGATTGCTGCGTACCCTGGTCTTCGGGCGCCGTACATACCTTTACGAAAATTAATCAAAGAGTCGCGGCTACGATTTCTTACGTCTGCTGAGATGTCCAGTAGCGCGCTCTGGAATGCTCAATTCCTTTCTGCGGGCGTCATGATGAGAGTCTCTGGCGGAAAGAAAAGGTTATACGTGACGGTTCGCGAAGCTTATACACAGCAAGTCGACCGCAACGAATTTGTCGTCATGGAACAGTCATGGCCGGAACTGCGACAGTTACCTCGTTGTCAACCTGACAAAGACTCACAGATGGAAGGCATCGACGAACATGGCCAGCCTCATGTTCCAGAGGCTGATGCAAAAGAAGCATGCTGGCAGTTCGTTGAGACATATGATGCGCCGCCTGCCAGTGTACATTCCTCTTTTGGAAGCAACCAGTCAGTTCAGTTATCGATGCGTCCTGCTGGACGAAATTGGCGGAGATCGATTACCCCCAACTCGATTTTGAAAAATAAGCAACCCCAGCCCATCTCTCCGTTGAGCGAGAACCACCCACAACGCCCACAATACTATCGCAATCGCACAGTCTCTGCTTCAGTCATCGACACCCACCCATCCCGCTTGTCAAAGCGCCGCCTCCATGCTTCTACCGCAGAACAATTTTCTGCCCCACAGCCAATTTCACATGCACCTAGCTTTTCAATGACGAGATTGAAGCGACGCCGTGTTGCGAATTCCTCCTCCCCACGGCCTGAGACAGCGCAGGTTCCAATATGGAATGCGACTCCTCGTCACTCGCGAGAACCACCCTCACCATTCTACTCATCGCAGCCTGCCCTACCGCGATCCAACTCAGATGTCATGAGCAGACCAAGTCAGCGCTCTGTTGCCGTTGCAGGAAAGTCAACGCCTTTCGCATACGCAACGCCGCACTCGGGACCCTTTGTGGGCGGTCCTGGCTTCAATGCTTACAACAACGGCGGCGATACTGAACCCGATGACGACAACGATGACGGCGAGCAAAGCTGGCCCGGTGTCACTGACGGCGACAATGATAGCGCCTCGGCGCCAGATTTTGAAATGAGTGCAAGTTCTGCAGACGAAAGCATTAAATGCTTCTCAAGCGACGACGGAGAGGATAGTGACGCGGAACTGCATGCGTTTGCACAACGCCAGTTAGCCGAGGATAGTGATGCCGAAGCACATGCGTATGCGCAAGCGCAACGTCAGCTAGCCGAAGAAAGCGAAGAAGACGATGTTTTTGACTCTTTGCTTAGTATCATTGAAGCTTAGACTCTCGTAAGCGTTACTCTTACAGGGTATATAAGGTCGATTTGGGTGTGGAGTAACACCACGCATCTCAAGCATAGGATTCTGGATATTTACGTCCAGCTAAGAGAATATGAAGAGCGATGAGGCACACATACACCAACTTGGGCGTTCTGGGTTAGACAATTTTGTACTATACCGCTTCCTTTGTATCTCAAGCGATGTTTTCATTTCGGACCCTAGCCGACAGGGTACTTCTGTATACTACTAAGATTGGCATCAGGGTATGGTTATACGGTTTAGCGTTCGGTGGTGTCAGCCCATCTTCTCTCTCCCCTTATGGTGGCTGAGTTAGGGAATACATATCTCATATGAAATAGTGAGAACCTCTTCTTATTTCCTGTCAGGTGATGCTTCGACACATACGTACACGTATGCCCACGCACTCACTCGTCTCCGACTACGCCCTCTTCACAAGAATCGCATGTTATGACCACCCTACACTGTCCTCCCTCTACATCCAAGCTCTACTCTTCTGACTACCTGTATCAACTCTGTACATTAACATCCCAGCACAAAACCCAGCTACAACAGACGATGTGCACAACTTACAAGATCCGTTACCTCCCTTGCAAACGCAAAGGCTACGACCTCTGCGTCGCCGCAGATTTTCAACAATGCAAAAAGGCTGAAGAGAGTCACGAGAGCTGTACCGTATCAACCACCAGAACCATATGGATCGATTACAAGTGTCCCCAACATGGAGGACCAACACCGCAGGAAAGAGAGAAGCTGATGAATGAGAGAGGGTTACATGGCAGGGATAGGCAGATTGTGATCAGGAAGGGGGACACGCCGAGCAAGTGGAAGGGCGCGCTCTGTGTGGTAATGTGAAGGGAACTAATTTGTAGATTGGCGTCAGAGTGCAAGACGAACCATAGCTTCGATGGTGGTTTCGAATGAAGGGACTCTTTTGAGAAGTTAAGGTGCGCAAAGTATCAGCCTCATTGTCGAACATCATTAGTTGGCCAATCTTATCAGCTTCAGGCCATAGACCTTTCTCGCAGCTTCAGGAACCGCATTCTACGATACTACATGGAGAGACAAGTATGCCTGAGACTGGGTATGCGCGTATGGTACACAAGCAAAGAGTAGCTTGGAGCGGACCCGCAAAAAGTGGGGAAGACTGTCCTAATTCATACTGACCTCGGCTGGTAACCAGCCTGAGCATCACAACGACGCGATCGTGACATGTGCGTCCCTGTAACAACAACAACATAGAGATTCCTCCTTCCCTGTCCTCAGTGCTCGTTTGCAATTCACTACTACAGACATCGTGTAGATTGGTCGTACAAGTATAGCGATTAACACGATGGCGTCGGCAACCTCCCAATCACACCCTCTCTTGCAGGCTTCCTCGGCTGCCTACGCCATCTTGGCAATTGGCCATACAGTAGGCGCAGAGCTCCCTATGAATAACAGTATGCTAACATTGACTGTAGATGAAAGGTCTCGATCAGTTCAAACACCCCACGATGAACACCCTCCCAGTCATGCTCCGCGGTGCCAGTAAGATCGGTTGGTACGAAGGTAGCGGTTTCTTCCTGATGATGAGTAAGTCCATATTTGACGTTTTGTTACGCTTCCTCGTTTAATAAAAGTCTCTATAGGCATCCTCAATTACAAATGGTCGGTTACTGGTATCTACGATGTGTACGACAAGAGCATCGCAGGCATCTTGACAGGTATGCTAGCTGCTGCTGGTGCGGCTTACTGGAAGAGCAACGATAAACCTACAGCCATTACACTGGCTGTTGTTGCAATTTTGCAGGGACTTGGTATGAGAAATGGTTCGTATTCCCGTTTTGCGTAGGTTCTGTGGCGCACACGCAGCAGGGTCAACTACCTCATAAAAGCAAAATACATTATCATTACTGCTATGCCAGGCCCCACTATTGAGCCTGCTATCGAAGAAACCATCATCGTAAACTTGTAAGTCATGAACGAAGGAAATGATGGGTATAAAGAACCATGGTCGCCGTTGCCGAGATACCGAATCGTTAAGACCGTGAAAGCCATCTAAAGCATTACCCGTACCGTGAACGCCGTCACCTTTTATGAGTCATGTTCATACTCATGAGAATCTCGTAAGCTGAAACTTTCCGACGGCCTACTCGCTTGCATCCTGGCTCTTCTTGATGCTGACAGGAACGACCCGCTTGTTGCTGCCGAGCAGGCGCTCGAGGCGAGCGACATAGTATTCGGCGAAGGTCTTACTGTTGTCCTTCTTCCACTCGTCATCAGCCAGCTGCTCAAGGCGGAGACAAGTGCGATCGACAGCCTCTTCGACCTCTTCAGCCCAGTTGCTCTTTTCAGTGACACCGTTGCTCTTTTCGCTAGCCTGGTCGCTTCCTTCGATGACAGTCTTGAGAGACCCAGTGCTCGTCTTCATGAGCGTAGAGGGAAAGCAAGGAGCGACCGAATTCGTGGGCAGGTCATCAGAGGTGAAAGTCAGGTACTCGACGATGCGCGGGTTCACGGCGGGGGAGCCTAGAGCAATAGGTACTGAGTCCTCATTCATATCGATGGGACCAAGATTCTTACGAATTTGCCCGGAACCTTGCTTGTCCCTACCACTGTCACTCAGCACCTCGGAGATGCTCGCAATATCGGCCTCTTCGTCCTCGGCGATGGATGCCTCGGGCGAGTAGTTGCTCGAGCCCACGTCTCCTTCGCGATTGCGGAGCTTGCGGTCATTGAGCTTCAGCTGCACGAGTCTATCGCCAATTAAACTGAAGCTGCGACCGCGCGTCAATGGGTAACGATACGCTACGGATGGAGCCGGAGAGCCGTATACAGGCGTGTTGATGGGTGGGGATGGGAAAGCTGCCTCCATGGCGGCCTCGTTGAGTGATTCCTGGATAGGAGCAAGGATTTTGGCGACAGCCGTGTAATCCATCTCCGGAGGAGGGTCGACAGGCTCGTAGGGACTACCTATAGGTTCAGTCGCCGGCGTCGGGTGTGGCACCGACGGGCCATCGGATTGCGAATCCAGGGAGGTGACTTTGGTAGTAGTGTTGGACGTCATGGTGGAACCAGAGTCAAGAACCGGAGATGGAGTACAACCCGATTTGACTGTTTGGTCTTGTTAGTATTACTGCGATATTCGTGCTCTGTAATAGGTCGAATAAGTAATCCGGGTTCGAGGTTGTGAAAAGATGTTGATGGTGAGAGTGCAAGCTAGCTTACTTATACGAGCAACTGACCCTTGATTATAATGTTAACGCGGTCGGTAATTATTGACGGTGGAATCAGACCGTGAGGAGTCGCGGATGGTTGTAGTAGATCCGAGTGTGGGGAGCGAGAGGAGCGTTTGTGGAGAAGGTGCGTGCGCCTACCCAAAGTTGGAGAACCGCGAAGCAACAAACGCGTGACTCTTCACGCAGACACGGAAGTAGCCGCACAGTTCAGAACTGTCTATGCAGTAGATGGTTAGCGGGTACAAACGGTGTATGGAGTGAAAGATGTAATCGAAGACCATGGATTGAATATAGCTGAATCGACACTTTACTTATACTCTTCGCGGCAAGTGTTCCAAGCCGGCGCTACGCACTGAGCTCACACTGCGTTGTCGAACAGCTTCAATTTCACCCGACGGCGTCCTGAATACAGAGGTGCTGGAGGGCAGGCCGTGGAGCGCAATGCCGGATGCGACTACCGCCCCTCCATCAGACTCACTCACGCCCGGGTTGCTTCTTTCCTCTTTTTTCTTTGCAGCGTACCAAGTCGGGAGGTTGTAGTAAGCTCCGCAAACGAAAATTCCGATCCAAAGCACCAGTTCGGTGCCATAGATGACCAGGCCCAGAATATCAAGCCTTGGCTGGAAGACGACTGACACCAAGGAGAAGAGATCGCCTAGGGCATCGATGCCTACGAATATGAAGGAGATACCTCTGACAGTACGGTGGACGTAGATGTCCCAGTAATGTCTCATGACACCAGCAGCAAGTAGAGTAGCTGAAGCAACTGCCATAAGGATACTGGGCCAGTGAAGACCCTCTGCCTTCGCATGTTCAATAGCAAAAATGAGGCCAGCTTGAATGCCCCCCATCAAACAAGCCACCGGGATGACAACAGCGAGGGAGCGGACAACTGACCAACTCTGTTACACGTTAGCCGCCATACTCGAGAATACTCTTCGAGAAGAACTTTTGACCTTCTCGTAGTAGTAGCACTGGATCCAAGTTACTAGGCTCAGGATGGTAAGGATCTGAGGCTGGATCCGTAGCGCAATGTTGTATCCTTCTGCAATGTTATAAACTCCAAGTGGGACTCCAGCCCATGCCCAAAGCATCATCATAGTTGGCTGGAGTCCAGTAGCATTATGTCTGCGATAGTTGATAACGATCTGGGGAATCAGCTACGTCGTGCTATTAGTTGAGCTCCTTTGACCATGTAGCCTGAGGCGTTTATCTACCTGAACGGACCAACACACCTGTTCTTGTTAACACAACCGCTTCAAAAGTCCAGGATATGCATACTGCGCCGAGTGTACCGAGTACGTTCGCGGCTACTGGTACATCCATGATAGACACGCGATAACCGATATGTTTGTTGAAGGGGTCCGTTTGTGATGTTCAGGAGCTGTCGTTCATTAACATCCTCCACTGCACGTCCACCATGTCCTTCTTAACAACGCGCCAAGAGCAATTGGAGAGCAACAACATGTCGCGAGACGCACTACGAAATCGCGGATGCACGAAATTCACCAACCCCGATGGCGATGAATTACCCACAGATGTATCGCTGTTACGGCGAAAGCGCGACAATACATGACATGGTTGACCCTGGGAAGCTGCCTACCTCCGAGGTCCGATCTTCGTGTAGCTTAGAAATCACCACTTGAGCAACGCAACATACCGCGACCACGATAGCGTTTTGGAGGCAGTAAAACATGGCGCAAGATTCGACGCAGACCGACGAAGGGCAGGACATAGCGGGAAGGCCCGGGTACAAGAAGCTGGCGAATGGCATTATACTCGGTCCAGATGGCAAGCCGTAAGTACCGTGGACTCTGGAATGCGCCGGAAGACATGCACACAGTACAACGGCCAATGTTGTAGAGAAAGCGTACGCTAACATCTGTGTTCACTTTATAGATGCCGAACCTGTAACGATGTAACCTCTCTCTTTGCCTTTGCAGGCAAGCTGCCCACAAAACGCACTCCTGCTGCTGTCACTCCGACCACCGCCGAGACCGCACCTTCCCTGCCCGCAGATTGCCCTCCCGACGTTGAGGCTCTCGGTCGCTCATCTTGGACTCTATTACACTCCATAACTGGCGCCTACCCAGCGAATCCATCACCACAACTACAGTCCGAAACCAAGTCCTTTCTTACCACGTTTGGCAAACTCTACCCGTGCTGGGTGTGCGCAGAAGATTTCCAGAAGTGGATGCAAAAGAACACGCCAAGAGTGAGCAGCCGAAACGAGTTCGGAGAGTGGATGTGCGAGGCACACAATGCTGTAAACGAGAAGCTGGGGAAAGAGCAGTTTGACTGCAAGAGGTGGGAAGAGCGATGGAGAACGGGATGGAAAGATGGGAGATGTGACTTCTAGACGTCAAGGACACATGGACACGTGTTGATGTATGATTATGTGTATATGAAGAGCATGGGTGGTGAGGTCATTCATAGTGAAGGACACCACTCTGTACGAACACGGACTAGATACTGGCATTGGGCGGCGTTCCAAGGTTACAACAACTCAACCATCTCTACATGGCCCGCAACAAGCTACCCTCATTATGTAGCCCGGGTCTTTCTTCGTGGCTTCCTATGCGACACATGCTTCCCCCACCTCCCGAGCTGGTTCGGTACCAAACCCCCAAAGTCTCGAACACAATGCGGTGTGGTACCATCACAGACTATGATCTCACAATGTGTAATGATGCACACGCGACTATCCGGAGTCTGTATTTTAGAAGCTGTGCATCTACTAATGTCCTTTGTGATACCCATGTGCGCATCCTCATCGCAACTCAATTCATATATATCAACCATCTCAGCCAAACACTACAACAGCAGCAACAGCGGGACATGGCCGTTACTGCCACCATCTTACTGATGGCGAGCAAGCACAAAGCCGACTCCTCGTCTTCTCCGGAAGACGCGAATACGCACATCGACCGCAACTCTGTCATCGCATTGTCAATTATCCTCTTCCTGGTCCTTGTAGCCATCGCATGGTACCTGCGCCTCCACTATACGCACAAGCGACAAGCAGACTTAGAGCAGCAGTCGCGATGCGGACAAGGTCGTTTCGATCCAACAATGGAGAGGGTTACATGGAACAGACGATGCGATTCTTGTGGTGAGGAGATTGGCAGAGTTAGATCAGGGAGCTTATTCAAGTTAAAATCAGTCTTACTGAGAAAAGATTCTGTTGCTACATCCTCATCGAGAAGTAGTTCAGGGACAGAGAACGTGCAGGGAAATAGGGAGAAGAGGAAATGGCCCGAGTTATCTCAATGGCGGATACAAGGTTCTAGGACTTCAATGTTAGGGCCAAATGCTTTTGCTCTTCATCAAAACACTTTCCCTCTGACGTCTACTGAAAGACCTTCTCCTACGCATTCTCGTCGGCAATCTCAACGCGGCTCCTTCGATCCTCTTCCTCTTCATAATCCTCTTTATCACACATCAGCTCGACGGCGCAGCTCCTCGCTCTCGCAAGATGCATACGATAAGCGATGGTGGAATGAGGTCGCTCGACGAGGATCCACAACGAGTCCTACACGGCGATCGTCTATTTTGGACACTGTGCTAGAGCCGGGAGTCAGGGGTCACACAGGCGATTCCCGAGCTGCCGGTGGATTCAGTACCGTGAGCAGGGATCATGGTGGAGGTAGTACGGGTAGTGCGCATGCATCCTGGAGAGGAAGTAGAAGTGAATCGGTCATGTATGATTGGACACGACCCACGGATGCTGAAGTGCACGCAAAGAACTTTGGAGATGTGATCTGGGACGGGCCTCATCGTGGAAGGGGTAGTAAAGAGGAAGAGAACATTCAAAGCATGGATTGGGCACTAAAGATGTAGCATATCCCATAGAGAGCGCTTACTTCGTCGCAGTTGAAAGGTCAATGTGAAAATTGCAAAGAAGCAATGCATTCCTGTCTTTTCCTATCATAAGTACTGTGGGTGTAGGAGATTTCTTTCTGTACGGAGCGCGATTTGAAGCGCATCTCCCCATATCTTCCATGCTGTCATTGCTAACATTATTTCTTCTGCTGAGAATCCAAATTACAGGATGATTGTAGACCTTCCTCGAATATGGTAGTGAGCTCAGACCAGCTAGCTGTGGACAAGTTCCAGAAATCGACTCGATGGTGGTATCTTGTGTATATCTCGCACTTTGGGGGGAAACGTGAAAGTTTACCGCATAATCTCCTGGTAGATGAGGACTTCTGAATGTTAGCAGAGATTCAACACAAGAGCAAGATGATGACGTACGTTTGAGCTGCTCCTTGGTCAGATTGTCCTTGTTCTTGTCAAAATCGAAGAACTCCTCTGGGATAGGGTCGGCCGTCGGCTCGTCATCTGGGTCATGGTACGGCTCAAGGTATGGGTGCTTGAGCGCTTCCTCGACTGTGATTCGCTTGACAGGGTTGAAAGCGAGTAACCGCTCGAGCAGGTCAAGCGCCAGATCGTTGGTCTTAGGGAACATGGCCTTCCACGGAATCTTCTTCTTGAATGGCAGCGACCGAATGTATTCGCGAGCTCGGCGGGACTTGATGCCGTAGTAATCCTCCATGGTAGGCGTACCGAGCACATCGAGAATCAGCGTGAGTTGGTGGTGGTCTGACTACAGTTAGCAAAGAGCTCCTGGCACATCCTATGTGCGCAATACTTACAGTCCTTTCCTGGGAACAGAGGCTTTCCGCTAAGCATCTCAGCCAGAATGCATCCTACACTCCATACATCAATGGCCTTTGTGTACTCCTTGAACGTAAGCATAATCTCGGGCGCACGGTACCAACGCGTCGCAACGTATTCCGTCATGAAACCTGAGTTGTCCTCGGTTGAGGCAGCTGAGCGGGCAAGACCGAAATCGCAGACCTTCAGATCGCAGTTGGCGTTGAGGAGCAGATTGGAGGGCTTAAGATCGCGATGGAGGACGTTTGCTGAGTGCATCGCCTTCAGCGCGCGCAGGGTCTGGTAGATGAAGTACTGGCAATGGTCGTCTGAAAGCTCTTGTGTACGAATGACGCGGTGCATGTCGGTCTCCATGAGTTCCTACGTGCTGTGTTAGCCACGGTTGAATGCTGTGAGATTCGCGGGCTACACACCTGGATTAGGTAAACTTCGGTGAAGGTCTCGTAGTTCCGAGGCTTCTGGATGTCGAGAATGGAGATGATGTTCTCGTGGTTGAAGTACCGGAGTAGCTTCATCTCTCGTAGTGTTCTCAGACAGAACATGGAGTGGTCAAAGGGCGTAATCTTCTTGATGGCGACCTTCTGGCCGGACGGCTTGTGCAATGCGGAGCTGGATTATGGTTAGCAGCAGTCTGGGTGGCACTGAGAAGTGGGACCTACCAGACAACACCATACGCGCCTTCTCCTACGACATCCTGAATATCGTATTGCTCTGAGACATTGAAAGAGATCTTTCTAGAGCTACCGCTCCCCGCTGGTGGCATGTTGGCGGTTGTGGTGGTGGTGGGTATGCGCTGATGCGCGGCGGACTAGGTCGATTGAGCTGGTGCTCAGTGATTGCGGGGTCGTGATTGTTTGACGGTGGACAATTGAAAAGCGAAGGAGGAAGCTGGATGAGGATGCGTATGCGGTGGTGAAGGTGGGATCTAAGAGCGTGCTTGTCAGCTCAAGCTCGGAAAGGCTATATGGCAAGCATTGTTCGCAGAACAGCAAGCGTGTCTTGCGCGCGTTGGTGAAACGGCACTGTGTCAGACACTGAGCCAGCCCCACGTGCTGGCCTTTGAGCCGCAGAAGGTGTTCATGGCGGCAGCGACCACGACAGAGCACAAAGAAGAGCTATTCTGTATTCGTCGCCGCCCGCGTATTCATCTATCTAATTTGACATACCAAAGGATTGGGGTCGTTTGAGGATCGAGGTCCGTCCGGTCACCAGAGCCGACAGGTCGTGCGTGCACTTTGGTGGTGCCTGGGAGATGTCGCTCGTCTTTAGCCGTTTAATGACGCTGGTTACCGAGAGATGTCGTTGACCAACCGATTGGAGCTGGTGCGGCTGCGCTTCGGAGCTTCTCGAGTATGCTGGGGTGATGCCCGCGCAAGGTGGAGAGGGAGTGAGGCGGTGACAGAAAGGAGACGGATAAGGTGGGGGCAGGGTCTGTTGTATTGCCAAGTCAGTCCCAGATGCGATCTCAGCGTGGTAGCAGGTAGCGGGTAGCGGGCAGGAGGAACGTGGCCATGTACCGTAGCGTGTGGCTTTCCGACCGCGTGTGCGTGAAGGATGCGTCTTCACACGGGAGGGGATCGTGTAAAACACTCGAGAGGGGCGATGGCGTGTTTGTTGCTGCTGCGGGCGGCCGTGTCGCGCTTTCCAAGTGGGATGGCGGGGTCAACCAGCTGGACTCAGGTACAATCGAATTCAACACTACACAAGGCAAAGAGAAAGTGCGCGTGAGATTCACAACTTGGAAAGACCAGCAGTACGCGCCGACTATAGAGTGCAAATATACCTCACGGGAGGTTGCAGCCCTCGTTTGGTGTCCGCGACGGCCGCCCGCCATACTTTGAGCTAACCGCCGACATGATCCAGCCATTGTGTGAGCTGCGCGAGTCACATCCTGTGATTTCTGCTATATGCACGAGAATCAGCTTAAACATTCCAGAATTGTTTCGCCAGTAGAAGCTACCATTCTTGCATCACCTCGTGCAATGTGCTAAGACGGCCTTCTGCATATTTGCTTTTTGCCAGCCCTGCATCTACCCAATGTCAGGCCTCCCTCACTACCTTTCCCATCACCGCAGTCACCTCTCTTGCTGCAGGGCGGCTGCCTGTCATCCTCCTCATCACTGAAGCTCAAGGCTCGGATGCTGTAGGGCCATGGCTGAAACCGGCTAGTTGCAGGGGCCTAGTTCCACATCTGCAACGGCTATACTTAGCAGACCCATTATGAGACCAGCCTCACCATGCGGGACCGTCCTCTCCGAACCTATTGGTTCCCGGCTGCTCCCCCAACTCGACCACCACCAACCGTCCTATTCTTACACTTTCAATCATCTGGGCCCAAGACTCTTGACTGTCTTATCGTTGCGCTTTACGCGCTACTCGTCGGCACCGGCATTTCTTGGGATCCGATGAGGAAGGAGATATCCGTAGTAGCTCGGCACGTCGACATCATAGCTGTTTGATGTCGAAGCATCTGAGACTTCCAGAAGCTGTTTCAGATAACCGCCAAGCCTAACAAGGAGGCCTCAGGATACCCGCTGCCGCCGATGATGATAGCGTCTGTCATCATCAAGGTCCAGATCTATCCACCGTGGGGTTCCCGTATTACACAACTGTGCTTGTGCCATGTTGCAGCTTCCAGCTCCATGCCTGTGGAATGAGCAACGGACACAACTGCAAGGTCCCGTCAGGCCGCAACCAGGACCTCGTTGCACAAGGCACAGTTGGTCACTTTCGTTCTCATCTTTGCCATGTCTCGCGCGCATCATAATTGCGTTACGTCCTGGTTGAATTGGCGATATGCTATCGGGTTGAGAAGTTGCTGAACAACACGGAACACCTACTACGTATGACAACATGGTTCGTTGCCGACCCCGCAATGTCCTTGAGATGTCGCAGGGCGAGTTGAGCACAAGTGGGATCGCGCTGGTCATGGTTCAAACGGCTGCGTTGCCTTGTAAAACAGGCCGAGGATGCCGGCAAAGCGAGCCTGATCTCAACATCATCTACAAAGCAGTCTTTAAAAAAGAAATTGGGTATGTATTGCAAATCGCTAATGCTCTTGGGAACCATGCCGATGCGTCGCTATCGTAAACCGTCACACCGGGACTCCGTATGTTTCCAAACTCCGAAAAACCACTCTTCCGTACAGTATCGCTCCATATTATGCTTTCGAGCCCCTCAACCAAGCTGGTAGTCACGCGGACGCTAGTGTGCCCATCGGTGGGTATTGGTTTCCTTGAGGTGCGCATGTGCACCATTGCTCCTTTGGTACGCTCTCCATAACGCCGGCAACGTGTTTACCGCAACCCCACCATGTGGTCTTGTCTAAAGAGATGTTAGCGATGCTTAGGCAAAGGACCTGTGGAATGTGACATACTGCAGGAGTCGCAGGAAGCCTTCTTGCACATTGTGAACGTTTGGTTGTAGGTGTTGAAGTGCTAAGTGGTGTAGCGTGGAGTAAGGAGACGATGCCGATGATGGTATGCCGAGGGCAAAGGAAGTATGCCGAAGCCTTTGGATAGAGCTCGAGAGCGTGGATTGTACTGTTGCAGTGGGTTTGAATGCGTATCTTGGTTGATGAAGATTTCGAAATCGGGTCCGTTCGACAAGCTCCCGGACCTTTATATATACGTCGCACCTCTCCACCTGCTCATACTTCTCGCCGAAGACCCTTCCAAACATGATACCTTACCTACGCGTCTTACAATGCCGCGGCGAGGCATAGACACTCGCCCGGGCTCTAGGGGACCAATCCTTCCCAGAATACTGGGCCTCTGCATCTCACTTCTGCTTTCTGATTGGCTGCCTAGTGATTTGTCCGAACCATAGTCGGCGACCACATTCGGCGAAGTGCCACTTGACGCTTTTTCTCGCTATGGGGGTTTAGACTGCGGGAGGGGCGTCTGACAGAACCTATAGCAGGGTCCGTTACCGAGCCATAGAGAGTAAGGGTTGTCGAGGGGTTTGTGTCGGTGTGCGGACTTGCGTACTTTGTGGAGTGGGATGTGGAGGTCCAGTCTGATTAGTGGCGAGCGTAGGATAGTGCATTGAGTAGGCGTGCTGCATGATGCTACGCCTTTGGGCTGACGCATGTGGATGCAGTCAGATTTGAGATTTCCCATGGTAGCTGGATAGAGACATGTACAATATGATGAGGTGGCTTCAGCCTTCTTGTTTGGACTTGGAGACGCGTAGTCTCAGGCATCGTACGATTGTTCAACGGCATGATAGTAGCATTCCGGAAGCTATGGGATTGGGCATCTCTTCAGCCCAAGATTGAATTCAAATAATCAATTACGAACAACAAGATAGCTTGCAAACTAGCCAGACTAAAGCTCGGGAAAACACATCGCGATCTGTACAATGTACACTACCGGAACTTTTGCTTTGCATGATCCGAAACGCCTCCGCTAGAGGAATGCTCCTGCGTCTAAAATCCGATCTTCGCTGCAGCTGCAGCCTGCGGCATCTACTTCGCCGACCAGCTTCATTACGAGATGCCGGAGTCCGCTTTTAACAACACATGCCCAGACCCATACAACTTAGTCAAAAGTAATCTTAGTAGCGGCCTTGACGTCTGAAGTGTCTTTGTAGAAGGCACCGTATGCACCATGTTCCTTCTTCTTGACAGTCGTACCGAACTTCATCAACTCTTCTGGTACGGGCTGGTTTGCTGCCTTGAGGACGTTGATCAACCTAAGAATAGAGTCAGCAGACTGAATTAGTGCAGGAAAATGCAAAGAATACTCACGATCCGGATAGTGCTTTGTCATGTTCCGTGAAAAGCGTGATCGCCAAACCCTCCTTTCCGGCACGACCCGTCCTACCGATCCTGTGAACATAGTCCTCAGCTGTCAATGGGAACGTGACATTGATGACAACCTTCACCGCGGGGATGTCAAGACCTCGTGCAGCAACATCTGTAGCGACAAGGAGCGGCACGTGGCCCTCCTTGAACGCTGCCAGTGAGGCGCTGCGCTTCTCTTGGCTTAGGTCGCCGTGAATGCCACCCACGCGGAAGCCTTGCCTGCGGATAAAGTTTTCAATGCGCATTGCTTCCTTCTTGTACAAGCAGAACACAAGGATACGATCGTCCTTGTTCTTGCCAGATTGATATTGCCTGAGCAACTGCAGCAGGCGCTGCTCCTTAGCATGGGGATCAAGTACCTCTACGAGCTGCTTGATGCGCACGTTGGCACGGAGTTCGCCAGATTGATTGTCACCAATCGTGATCCTGACTGGCGAGTTCATGAAGGTGGATGCAAGATCCCGAACGGAAGGTGGCCACGTAGCAGTAAACATGAGAGTCTGACGCTTCTTGGGCGTCTGCGAGATGATCTGCCGAATTGCTTCTTCGAATCCCTTGTCAAGCATACGGTCAGCTTCGTCAAGGACTACGTACTCAGCTTTGCTGAGGTCCGCAGAGCCATCACCAATCAAGTCGTTGAGACGACCCGGTGTAGCGACTACAATGTGCGCCTTACGGCAAGCAGCGACTTGAGGGTCTTTTGGCACGCCGCCGTATACGCAGACTACGGACAGTCCAGCTGGTGTAGCCAACGCCACCAATTGATCATAAATCTGAACAGCCAGCTCACGCGTGGGTGAAACAATGACAGCCTTAATACCCTTCCGCTTGTCCTTGGGTAGCGCTGCGATGTAACGCACACAGGGTACACCGAATGCCAGTGTCTTGCCTGAACCTGTCTCAGCGACACCAACCATGTCTCTTCCTGACAGCAAAAATGGCCAGGTCGCTGCTTGTATAGGTGTAGGGGCGCTGAACTTGGCAAAGAAGGCGCGTTGCGCATCGTCGACTGGGAGGTACTTGAAGTTGAGGATGGGTCGTAGGGCGCGAGCGGCGGGTTTGGGGTCTTGGATAGTCATGGTGTTTTTGGCAAGGAAGGCGTCGACTTCGGCCTGAGGAAGCTGCGTCAGCTCCTTGCTCTCCTCATAATCGCCCGATTCGGTCGCGGTTGCGCTCGTTGCTGTAGGCTCGGCGCTGGCTTGGACCGATGAAGGCTTCGATGAGGACGCAGACTCGGTAGCTTCGCCCTTTGCCAATGCCTTCAAGCGCTTCTTCTCTGCCTTCCGTGTTGCCTTCTCTGCTGCCTTGATGGCTTCTTCGCTCTCTTCCGCAGTCTGGCCAGCTGGCTCGTCTTCCGCCGCAGCCTTCAGCGCTTTTTTCGCCTCTTTAGCCTCCTTCTTTGCTTTCTTTGCCGCCTTGCGCTCGGCCTTCGAAAGCTTCTCGTCATCTTCAGAGCCCTCTACAGCTTCGACATTGCCGTTGGTCTCGGTCGCGTCGATTTCAGCGGTCTTGCTAAGCTTCTTGCTCTTGTCTTTCTTGCTCTTCTTCCTTGAGAGCTCGGGTATAGTGGTCGCGCCATCTTCGGCGACAACATCAGAGATTGGACGTTTCCCCATCTTGTTGGTGGGCAATGGTACTTGTGGAGAAGCTGCGAAGGATGGCGGAAAAATCACTTTTTTCGTCGGCAGTCGGACCAGGGCACTATCGATAAGACCGCGACTAGTCCCAAAGGGTCCAACGCGATCATAGACCAGCAAGTCTCGCGTCCTCGATGCTTTTCACCACCCTGCGCATGCACCGAGTGTGACGCGTACGAGTCTCTGTGTCTGCCTATAGCAGACTGTAGTTTTTTGATCTTCCGGACTGGTGATCGCAAGCAAGTTCCGCAATTCCGCGCTAGTCAAAACTTTTACGCACTCGCTCTCACTACCGCGAGCCATGACCAGAACCACTAAACAACAGGGACCGCTTTTTCCAAGACTTCATGAGCGATCATGGCGGACGTGACAGTGCTGAGATGTTGGCCAGCCTGCGTCGACGCAATCGATTGGTCTCCGGATGGCATCATTGCATTAGCGTCGGATGAGCGCGTGGAGCTGCTCGTGAGTTGTGATCTATTCGCGTGCATACATAAGGCATCTCTTACTAATCGCTGGGTAGTTCCCAAACACCATCGACTTTGAGCGAGATCAAGTTGCCCCTCAGTGGCAACACGTACCCCTCAAGGTGCCTTTGTTTTCCACCGACGAGCTACCACTCAAAGAGCCTGCGCCTATATCAAACTATTCCGTTGGAGAGGAAATCTCGAATAGTGCACCCATCAACATTGCGTGGTCGCCGCCTGGCCTTGCGAAACACCGAAAGTGTGCACTTGCAGCTCTTACTACGAATCTGACGCTTTCGATCTGGTCAGCCGAAGGCAAACTGCAAGAGGAAGGAAGCTGGGCTCGGCGGCTCATCATCAACGATGCGCTTGCTGATCACTTCGAAGATTGTGATGACGAGCTCAGCCACTTGACAGTATCAACTAAAGAACGACTGCGTTTGAGAAGCCGCATTCGAGCGTTCGCTTGGGCACCCGCTCTACCTGGTCCGGAACTGACTGGTGTCGTTGGAACTCACCTGTCATATGGTCAGCACATGATAACTGTCTCTAATGACGACAACTACCTAGTCTTCTTGAAAATCGAATCACCAACATCCACCTTGGGAGCTGAGCGAGACTGGAGGGCAGATGTTCTGATACATGAATCTTTCGCACCGCCCTCAGATACCATCTTTCTAAAACCCAACGTTTTTGAAGACATGGTTAAACAGCAAAGGTATATTTCACACATTGCATGGAGTCCTTGGATCATTCGTGACGACTCCCATCATTCCGTAATCGTATACGCTACGAATGAAGACGTACGGGCTCAGGCAATCACGTACACGAATGGGCGTATGACCTTGGACAATGAAGTCATCTACACAGGCTATGTACTCCGATACGATGGGCCAATGAAGTGGTTCGACAAGCCCGAGAGCGGAAGCAGACTAAAGCTTGCCCTTTTCACGAACACGGAGCTGGTATACTTGACGATATCAGCCCTCGACGCTTCTATTATCACAAAGAGCACGCATGATCTGGACAGCCGATGGGACCCCATCTCTGGTGTAGTCTGGGATACGACCGAAACAGTAACACCTCGCCTACACATAAGCTCACTGATATCGACCCTCCACAATCCGACCGCTGTTCTTGAGGAGACATACGATGGCCTGAAGAGTCTTGGTGTTCCAAATTGGCGGGAGAAGATTGAGAACAACTTGGCGCTTTTCAGTGTAAAGAATGGACTTAAAGGAAATAGCAAAGCGAAAGTGTGGGGTCTAACAAGGTCACCTCTAGGCGACTTCATCGCCGCATGCAACAGCGTACATCCTTCTGATATGATCGAGTATGGCATTCCGGCTGACCGAAGCGGCACCGTGGCGATCAGCTCCTTGCGACGTGGTAGCCAGCGGCGAGATATATTTCCAAACGAGGACGTCACCGCTGAGGGTATAACGTACAGTCTTAAGAAACTGGCAGAAGGGGCTGTCGAGGATCCCGATGATATGCCTGCATTCGCAGAAGAGATGGTTATGAAGCTCGTCAAGACTTATACAACTCCTTCTCGACCCGAGAACAGCGCAAAGACATCGACAGCGTACTCCGATGTCAACAATCTCGACTCGCTCATAAGGGAATTCAAACTGTCTGCCTTTCTCGATGCGCATACACTGAAGGACCGTTACACTTTACTCGTATCTGAAGCATACAAGACACAGATCCAGAAAGACCTGTTCAGGACACTTATCGCGTATCGTCTCGCTCTTGCCTTGCAACAGGTTCCTCTATCGCTCTCAAATACTCCCTTCAGTGCAGAAATCGTCATACATCACAAGCAACTCATTGCTCTCGTTAACATGGCCATGAGCCACAACGATACATCGGAAGACAACGATCTTCCAACAGTCACTACTGGTGTGATGGACAGCAGCAGTTCGACGGATCAAACATCAGCAACCTCAACAGCAGACACATGTGACTTTTGCTCGGCCCCTATACCCTTCACAGACCTTGCTTCAGCAGCTTGCACCAACGGACATCAGTTCCCCAGATGCGGATTGAGTTTTCTGGCCATCCAAGCACCAGGTATCACCAAGTATTGTGGCATATGTAACACTCCATTCTTGAGTGATGAGTGTGTCATGGCCCAGGAATATGTGGACAGCAAGAAGAGTCTAGATACTGGAGGCGATGTAGTTATGGCTGATGTGACAAGAGATGGAGAACTCTCAGAGGCGGATGGTAGAAAAGACAGGGACAGTGGTTCATTGAATGGAGCGGATCGAGAAAGTGTAGCTGAACAAGACATGGACGAGGACCAAGCAAGCGACGACCCAGAAGACGAGGACGGACTGTACGAAAGGAGGCAGATTCCTGTTACGTTGGCTCGAGTATTATTCCTTGCGTGCGATGCTTGCGTCTACTGCGGTGGCAAGTTTGTTGGTTGAAAGAACTCAAATGAGCTTACCCAGCTTGAGAGGTACGAAACAGCGCGTTTTGGTGGATTGAATCCATCCCCAGAAATGACTCTCATGATAAACACTATCGACTTTCATAGAGAGATATAGCGTAAGATTCTACTTATCCCTTCATGGTAGACTTTACCGAGGTATTGATTGGAACTTCACTACGCATCCTCTATTCGTTTGCATAGCTTGGCCAAATGTTAAAGGACAACATGGCCACAAAACCTGGAAGTTTAATCATCCCACTTGTTTCGCCCAGCATGTTCATGACGCTCATGTCCCTTGTCGCGGGACGGAAGAGGACATAAGGTCCGAATGCCGCTTGAATTACGGTCCGGATCCCTTGGCATCCATCCGCACAAACTACGCAACTCCACTTTTCACCGCGGCAAGCCCTGGCGCTTTCTAGAAGACCGGCCAGATCGCCGCACAAGTCCCTCACGCCCCACCCAATCAACCGCACAATGTACGCACACGAGTGGGAGCCAATAGTGGGCAGGAGGCGCATGGAGCCAAACGGAGATGTCAACCAGTGAGGCCAAAGCCTATAGTCAATCTTGCTACAAACACGGTGTGATGCGGGGCAAATTGTCTGAAGCCCACGGACGGGAGCCGCCGCTGACGGTGTTGCCCCAGGGAAGAGGTGGCACGAATTGCCCTGCGTTTGCCTTGCTGCCGCACAAGTCGCGCATGCTTTGGGTATATAAAGACTTCGTTGCTTACCTTCTGTTATGATCTTCTACACCACAACAATCAAGTTCATATCCCAGACCAATTCAATCTTCACTATAACAACCTTCTTCAACCAAACAACCACCTCCCAACAACCATCAATATGAAGGGTAACTGCGGCTGTGCTTCCGGTAGCTGCAACTGCGGCTCCACTTGCACCTGCGATGGCTGCCCCGTATGTCATACCTTCTTATCCACTATGGAAATCATACTGACGACTTGTAGGGTAAATAAGCCAGCTAATTGCGAGGAGAGTATGCGCAGAGAGCGTGACAAGGTGAGTGAAGTCGTCATATTACACACATACCAGTGCATTAATACTGTGCAGTTGGTTTCGAACAAACCGTGTCTACTTGATTTTTGAAGACATGCGATCACTAGGGGAAGGGGGGCGTTAGGACGCCCAAGTGATACCAGATGAGAAATTCAATTGTTCCAACACAATGTTCGCGTAGCGAGTGTTTCTTCCATCCAGTGAAGTCTTGATTCCTTCGCACATCTTCAAATTATGTGGTACAACAACCGTGCGATACTGAATCGACCATATCATGTCTTTTTATCCGCAACAGACCGTAGCGTTCTCCTGCATACGGTCATCGCCGCCACTGCTGAGGTTGAAGCTTTCCCACCCAAAGATGAAGTAGCCCAGATATGCACCAATGAAAATGCAAATGATGAAGTATCCGTTATAGTACATAGCCAACAACATAACGAAGTAGGCCACGGCAAATGCGCACATGTGCAGTGCCGCTCTGATCGCCTGCTGCATAACGCTCGGTCGGAATTTGCTTGTTGTGATGGGTGTAGGTGCTCTAGCAGCGGATGTAGTTGTAGCGGCGGGAGTCTTAGTCGTGCCGTCATTGCTTGATGAAGAAGAGGCAGAGGAACCGATTGTCGAGGGAGCGAACTTCTTGGAATACTGTGAGACGATGTAGCGATCGTACTCTTTGGCTGCGCGGCGCAGAAACTCGAGAAGGATGACGAGGAGGACGACACCGATACAGGAACCGGCAAACATGGCTTTGGAGCGAACGTGCCAGGACTCTGCGATGAAGCATGTGTCGATTACGTTCCAGTTCCATAACATCTGTGAGATACGTATGTTAGCTGGGGCTCTCGATAGCGCACGTACACGGAACAGGACTCACACTGATCTTGCATCCACCCATCATGTCCATCGCATCATCCATACCGCCCATACCGCCTGATGAGGTTGCCATAGGCATCATGTCACTGGCAGTCGGTGTCATAGTCATGCTCGGCATAGCCATGCCTGTGCTTGTCGGAGCCATCGACATACCCATATCCATTGACATGATTGCTTGCGCCTGCATGGAAGGAGGTGAGAAGAGGGTCCAAAGTTATATCGTAGGGATTGCAAAAGATTGGGAACCTACTGGGAGATTGAAACAGCGCAAGGAATGAATATACTTCAATAATGCGCCTCAAGTAAGGTTGAGCAAGTTATGAGCAAGTTTCCAAGCGCGATAGATGTTGAAAGGAAGCAGCAATCAACACAACGCGGTTTACGTTCAAGAGCTGGGGAAACTGAAGAGGGTTCACGGCAGAATGGGAATCACACAAGATAAGAATGTATCGGATATCAATGAAAGCACAGCGGTTATGCCTTTTTTTCGGGTGATGCAACCTTCTGCGCACTTCACAGGGCCAGAAAGCTTCTACGGCCATCATCACGAAGTGGCGTGGTGCTCACAGACCGTTCACCGAATACGGCCTTGCGCAAGTATCTCCCATAACCATCTCAGCCTACCATGTCGTAAGATAACGCAGTAAGAGACCCGCTTATCAGTGTGGTGGTGGTCGTTGAGACTTGACAAGCAGGGACGACCTGCAGAAAGCTATACCGGAATAGGTCTAGAGGTCGAATGAAGTGAGAAGGTTTCTGAGCACATTTCACGCCTTCCGAATCCTGCGTGAAGATAACAGTCGACACAGTCTGACAGGTCTTGAGATGCAGCGAGATGTTGGATCCATACAGGCGGTGGATGTTTGTTGGTGAAGCGAGGAGAACGGGCCGCTTGCGTGCATCTGTTGGGACTGCAGCTTACAGGCAGAATACTTCCAAGTCAACGTGGGATATATGGACTTATATTGCAAGCGCAGCAGAACATCGTGCGGCTGCATCCCGGTGATATGGGTGCCAGCCTGGCAAGGGTAAGAGAAGGACGGACTACTGCAGGGGTTGGGCCATATGAGCATGCGATTGTGCGTGTTGGATGCAACGACAAATTGGCTAAGCGACAAAACTCCGGTATGCTTGCGACGATATCAGTGGGTTGTAGCTCTCAACACTGAGAGATCTTTGTCTTAAAGAGCAGTCCTGCGTGGGCCAACGTGGCTTACATACATCACGTCACATAACGTCAAGGCAGATTGGCTGGGTAAAGACTCTTTGGCGGTGTTGGTACGACAGAAGACCAACTAAAAGCGTATCTCACTGTTGTCAGTAATGTTTCCGGTCATGATTTGTTGAACCACCAGACTAGTATGCCTGCTCAACCACAGTCTCGTTCCTGGCGAATGGATCAATGCTTGGATCTGTAATCCTCACATGCTCGATAAATCGCGCAATGTTTGTTGCGTTTTCCGCACTATACGTCTTCTCAACCCAATGCAGCATCATATCGATGCCAGCTGTGACTCCGGATGAGCTCCAGATAGGCGGTGAGCTTGAATAGTCCTCCACCCATCGAGCAGACGGAACCCATGTTGTATTCGGATTGGCTGCTACTGTCGTTGACCAGGAAGATTTGTTCGCAGTAGCTCTCTTGCCATTCAGTATACCAGCACGAGCCGCCAGAGCTGACCCTGTACATATCGTGAGGACTTGTCGGACTTTCGGTGTAGTTTCCCTGATGTACGCCATAGTAGCGTTCAAACTTGTCGGGTTGCGCCATCCCGGACCGCCAGGAATGATGAGAACGTCTAGGTCCAGTGCTGTCTCGAACACGTGTGTAGGCGTGAGAGATGGATACACGGAGGAGTTCAGTGGATTCATCGCAGCCATTACTGGGCGCGTGGTGACTGGTTCCAGGGTCTCGGCGATGTACACAATGTTTGTTGGGTACGATCCGCCGATGAATTGAAGGATCTCTGATGGACCGTATACATCAAGCATGTCGAACATGCGGAAGAGAACGATGCCATAGGTGCGCGGTACGGGCGTATTCGACACTGATGAAGTCAGCCTTTTTCTTAGCTTTCCAACCTAATTAGTGATCTTTTACAAACTGCTGAGACGAGGGGGGTAGAGAGAAGAGACACAATAGGCCAGATGAACTGTAAAAAGCCACCCATGGTGTATGTGAGAATTGTGAAACTTGTTGAGCAAAGTGCTAGACAATAGTCTTACCATGCAATTTGAAGCTATTTGAATCACATTGGTCACATACACAATTGTATGTTGAAGCTTCCACGATTGAGTCACGTAGACATATCAGGTGTTCGTCTCGTGCACTCTATCACAAACAATATGGAACTCTTGGCCAGTCCCAAAGCCTGCGATCACACGAAGCTTTTGATGAAATATGGGGAAAGGTGTCCAGCCACATTTCTATATCGGTGAATTCCCAATCTGCGATGAGAATACTCATAGGGTCGGCGAAGGTGTGGTGGGGAAGCTTCACAAAAGCGTGTTGGCAAAGAGCCGGATCGCGTTAGCATTGTCATACAATCTTGCTCAGGGGTCTAATATGTTCATCTCTTTCGCAGGTATGCGCGGTTGGTGTTGCGCTAGGTTGCGCAAGTTCCTGCATAGACAATGTCAGATGTACCATAGTAGTAGATAGGCGAAGAAAGACACCAGTGCAGACGGTCCGTGTGGGGTGTGGGGAGATGCCCGAGCCACGAACGCGATCGCGTCTTAATTGCCCGCTCATCCATGCACAGCAATCATGTCATCACCATGTGCTCAGCACTGAATACACTAAAAGCCACAAATTGTATACAATTATCGTGAATCGAAACCTGACTCGCTATGTCATGAATAGATGACCTAAGAGGCGCCCTTGCGCCCAAACGCCAAACGCATTGGAATCGAGGTATCAATATAGGTGACGATCTCACCATACTTCATAAATTACAACATGCTAATGAAAGCGCAGAAACAGACAATGCGAAAGCGCAACTTGCAGCGGAACCACTATGCGCACCCTAAGATTGCGACCGAATCGAACGAAGCATGGAGATGACTGGAATGAGCTTGCGCAACCTGTTCTTCTCCTTCGACTGAACAAAATGCGTATCCTGTCGCCTAAGAGGACTCGGGTCGATGGGTGAGACGGTGACGGTAGCACCCTTGCCTGCGGCGGGATCGCACGCGATAACGGATGTCTTCCTACGCACAATGGGGGAACCGACAGGAGAGCGCATCTTATCAGCGATCGGTGAGAACATGGCCTGCTTGCGACCAACGGGCGAGCAGATGACGATAGGTCTCTGTCCGTCTGCGGTGGGCGACGTGACCACAATTGGGCTGTTCTTGCCAACGACAGGCGAACAGATGATAATGGGTCGCTTCTTCTCGGTGATGGGTGTGACGAGCACGATCGTGCTCTTCTTGTTCTGATTGAAGACACTGATCTTCTCTGTGGGGGTAGATCCCGGGATGATAAGCTCGGGAAGCGTAACAGCATCCTTCGTTGCGGCCGATTTGCGCTTCAAGCTGAAGTACGATCCATCTGGACCGTCAACCCAAGAGCCATCAAAGTCTGGACTTTCCAGTGCTTTTCTGGCCACTTGAGCCTTAGCCAGATACATGAACTCGTCGCCCTCTACCTTAATCATGCAGTTGTGCCAGGGTGTCGGAAGCTGGTACTCGTAGACCGGATTTGGCTCGAGACGCGTCTCCAGAGAGTCGATTGCGCGAACCATGTTTGCTGGTAAAAGCCGGATCGCGAATTTGGGGCCTGCATTGTTGTGTGCGTGGATGGACAAACGAACGTAGTTGGGAAGCAGAAGCTCAGTCAGGTTTGAGTAGGCTTGGTTGCGAGACATCATTTCTTCAGCGACAAGAGCAGCAGTCTTCTTCTTTTGTTTGCCGCTCAGCGACTTGACTGAAGGGATGTCTGCAAGGTCCTCCAACATGAAGCGAGTCTGGCCGCGGTAGAGACCAAGAGCATCGGGCTCCTGCTTTTCGATCAACTGACGGATATACGCACGGTCAGGCCCTCCAATCCCCAACATCAGCTTGCGACAAAGCTCGGCATCACCAGTGAGCTTGGTCTTCACAGGGTGCGGCATCTGATGAGAGTTCAGGAGCAGCTTTTGGAGACCTTGGAAGCCCTCAGAGTCAGCAGAGAAGATATTCTTCAGGCCCTTGAACTTGATGCTCGGGACAGGGCCGACATCTTCCGGATAACGCTCCTTGTATATCGCAGCCATGCAAGCATCGTATGTGTCGATCATCTCATCGTCAACACCGACTGTCATCTATGCTTAGTACTGTTCCTAGAAGAGAGCGTCTAGGGAAGACTTACTGCAATCGGAGAACACGTGGCCATCGTTGATAACCCACATGGTCGCACCAGGCTCATAAACCGTATTGACCTCCTTGACGAATTCATGGAGTGCGTCCATGGCGATATGCTCAGCTAGATCTGGCATGATACCCCCAACTTTGTTCGGATTGGGCGATTTGCAAGGGAAGGCAGGTAAGGCAAGCTGGATGGGAAGGTTCTTGTCGACGTAGCCGTAGACGCGGTTCAAGAAAGCTTCTTTTCCACAGACATGCCATTGGTCGTCCCTGGACACGTTTTTGAGTCTACGTTCGAAGATGTCTGCTATCGTTGCACATGTTTCTCGGTGTTTTGCTGCCCATGGCGTCGTCGATGCTGAGATGTTCGCAAATGGCTGGAACTCGGTCTCTAGAAGAATGAAGCGCTCTGCCCATACCCCGAAGCCGTCGGCTTTGACAGACTTCGGCCTCGATGTCAGCATACCTAAGAAGAGACCATTCTCGTGTTCGATCTCGGATACTTGGGTACAGAGTTCTTCTTGTTGATATGAGGGAGGGTAATTCGAACGAATGTTAAGAAGAGCAGGGATATCGGCTGTAATCTGGAGAGTCTTGATGGACTTGCCAGAGGGAAGATTGAGCTGGGCCCATTGCCTCTCTGTGGAGCAAACGATATCCTTTAATTGTGTCCAGATTTCTGGCAAGGACTTGGAGTTACTGCCTTCGACCGCCAGGAGCTCACCAGAGGCATTCCTCCAGTACAGGCCCTGAATGCAGTGGTAGGTGTTGATGGACTTGTTTAGTGGTGCCATGGTAAATGATTGACGATAAGAGGCAGATTTTCGCTAAAGTAAAATGCTAAGAGTCGGAACAAAGGAGATGGAATGAAGAGGCGTGCGTTGAGCAATTGTAGGGGCTGTTTACTGGCCTGCAGAACCGCAAACAAGCCGGCTTCTAATATATGAAAGAGACTCAACACACATGTCTCAAACATCACAAAGGTGATGCTCCACTCGGTCAAAGCGCGCTCGCCCCAGCCAGCTGCGGATGGCATCAACGACAAGCCACAACTCGTGCACTCCGCACACCGACTGGTACGCTAATTACGGCACCGTTCAATCTCGCTACGCATCGGGTCAGCCCATTGAACTGGCCGTCGCGCTCAACATGCCTGGCGGCAGTGTGGATCCGCTTGATGCTTTGCTGTTGCAGTGGGACAAATGGCATGCTGTTGCCAGCCGGGATGCATAACTAGGGAACTTGGCATCCGCAGCTGCCTGGGGCTAGCTGAAGTAACTCTGCGAGTAGACGGCGAGTTATCTTGCACAGACGTCCGTCATACGGCAGGATTCAGCGAGCCATCATGCAACAACAAGTCTAGACAGGTGGTCGTGGCAGAGCTATCATGACCCCACGACAGGCGTATGCACTGCTTGGCAGCATAACCTAGGTGGAAGGATCTCCGCCCCTGCCAGCGCCACAACGAACGGTTGTTTCCACCCAGGTGTTACAACAGGATCCGAACGTTACCATCCAAAACTCCTTATTTTCTAAAAGTAGGTGCATGGAGCTGGCGTGCAGGGTATGCGCGCCAGCCTATCTCGCTTCAGCTTTCGCTTAGAGACACCGCCCCCAACTTACCGGGTTGGGGCTGAGATCCTTCTCGCATGGCGGCTAGTTCCATATATGCTTTGGCTAAACAGTCGTCGTCAGTACTATCAGATTTGTAGCAACTGAGCATCATGGTTTCGTCTCTTTCGCTGGTGTTTATCGCCGCTTTCGCTATCGTCTTCGGTGTGTTCTCATTCTTTGTCTACCTTTTCACACCACCTCGTAATTTTCCCAAGAACATACCAACGATACCATTCTATTATGGTCTTCTACCGCTTTTCAAGGATGTTGACCAAGCTGAGCTATACCGACAATATCTCAAGGAACCTCTGGCCAGATATGGTGCGGTCAAGTTATTCTTTGGTGGACAATGGTCAGTTCGCCAATGTACCTAACACATTTGCGGCACACACTGACTTCGCATGTCGAATTGTAGGAACATACTAGTAACCAAACCCGCGTACATTGCGGAGATGTTCAAGCATGAGGAAACCTATGCCAAGTCTGGAAATCAAGTCAAGATTCCGCATAGTGTGCTCGCCGAGTACACGGGCGAGAACATCATCAGCGCCCATGGCGAGAAATGGAGACTCTACCAACGAGTCATCAAACCCGCTCTGCAAGCTGACCAGGACTCGGAACAAATCTGGAAGAACTCCAGGATGCTCAGGAACATGTTTCTGGGCGAATCAAAGACTGCTGGCGGCAACGGCATCCCAATATACTCACTTCTTCACCGATATGCGCTCGCCAATCTCTCAGAAGTGTTGTATAGCTCAAGCTTTGAGACGTTGCAGCATGTGGACGCACCACTACATATGATTCAGATGAAGATCAAGCCGATCATCTTCCAGCCTATCTTCATGAACTTTCCATTCCTCGACTATTTACCATTGGAAGTTCGGAAGCTCGGTCGTGTGCTCAGCAAGCAGTTCCGCGGCACTCTCCGCACTGCCATATCCAAAGGACATTCCCAACACGTCTGTAATGAGAACGACAGCAGGAACGTTGCTTGTAGGCTGCTTGGCTCGCATCGCGAAGGTATACTCAGCGATAAGGATCTCGACGACAACCTCGTCAGCACCTTCTTAGCCGGCCATGAGAACCCTCAGCTCGCGCTCATGTCCCTTATGTACCTGCTTGGCACGCATACATCAGTCCAAGAAGCGGTTCGCAAAGAGATCTCAACCCTCTTCCCTGCCGATGCACACGTAGACTACGAGCCGTCCTATACCGATCTCCACGACCTGCCACTTCTCACCTCAGTCCTCTACGAATCTTTACGCATGTTTCCTCCGATCTCACAGCTTATCAATCGCCGTACAACAACACCTGTCGTACTTGGCAACAAGATACCTGTACCCTCCGGTGTCTACATGGGTTACAACGCATACTCCACGAATCGCGATACTGAGTTCTGGGGCGATGATGCCGATGACTTCAAGCCGCAGCGCTGGGGTACCACGAACGAGGAGATCAGCCACCTATACCGTCGCGCCAACTCCAAAGGCTCTTTCATCAGCTTCCATGGTGGAAGAAGAGCCTGTTTGGGGCAGAAATTTGCGATGCAGCAGCTAAGAATTACTCTGGCAGAATTGGTGAGGGAGTGCAGATGGAGGGTAGATGAGACTTGGGACGGTAGGATGACACCTGCTGGGCCGTTGTATCCCCGAGGCTTGAAATTGAAGTTTGAGAAGTTGTCAGAGAAGTGAGAATATTGGGTACAATAGGTTTGCATATGTGTGCATAGCGATCGGAGTTTCTGGATATGTGTCATGTGTTGGATGAAATGTATATTGATTCTGGCTCTTAATGTCCCAACTATCTGATTCCACTATTCAAACATTGAAAACCCGCCCATGGGGTCTGAATTGACTGTCGTGCATCCGCATCGATAAGTGCTTTACATGCTCAACCTGTACATTTCATCTTCAAAATTTGAGGATTTCGAGCGCCCGCACTGTATACTGACTTTACAGGTTATGCTTGCTCAATTGGATTGACCATGCCCTCTGCAGATCACCGTTTACCAAGCGCGTTTGACGTGGGGTCCAAAACGATGTGACTGTGCGAAGGATTGCAACCCTGTAGCGGGTAGCAAAGAGCAGGGGATGCACCAGGCGGCTATGGGACGCCTGGCGAAAGCTCATGCTACGATTGTCCCGCACATCCCAGTACTACCGCAAATACCACAGAAGATAAGGCTTACTCCAAGCTATAAAGTGGATCAGATCCAACGTGTCATAAATCCTTCGACTAACTTTTCGCTTGGACGTATTGTGATGTGGAGATTTGCAATAAACATAGTATACCCAAGCGGGAAGGGTGGGGACAGATAGTAAGAAAGTGCAATCTCGGCGCAACGATACGCCAGATGCGATTTTACCATGCCGCAATCAGGCGTGCTGAAAACGTGACTTGCTTACGGTGGATTCCTCCGATGTCGTGTTGAGAGAGGTTATGATTTTTGCAGAAACGGATATGCAACCAGGATTCTACCCACTCGGCGAAGTTTGTGCTTCGTAATCACATGTGCGAAAGAGCACGATGTACCTTCTCACTGCGATAGCGAACGACTACAGCACTCGGGTCGGTCAGTTGTTGAGTCTGTCAAGTGCACCCCGTGAAACGGGCTTCGGCGATGCCGTTAGCTGCAGATTTTCAACCGCAAGATCGAAAACAGATGTAGCACAAAAGGAAACCCAGTAGTTGAGTGCCCAAGGCAGAGCTGAATGAATCGTGATTGGTAGGGATGGAGCGTCAAACTCTCCTCAAATGGCCCCTAGGTGTTGGTGAGGGGTCGCATGTCTACTGCAGACTCAACGCCTATCAGGACTGAGATCTGTTTCGAACTGATCGTATGAATCTTCGATCTGATGCTGCAGTACTTCAAATCCTAGATAGACAGTATTTGATGCATATGCATTTGTCACAGCTTCATAAGAAAAATGCAATCATGTTGTGCTCTTCCGTCCAGCTTTGGATGACTCATCATAACCTCTCTGGTAGCTGCATCCATCTCAGCAACGCCTTGCAACACTTCCAAGGCGCGATGATGCGGGGAAGATTGTAGTCAACCCTCAGCGAATCGTCGACAAGGCGGAGTATTCAGGACAAACTTATCCAGCTTAGTGTGGCGCTAAGCAATTCAGCCTCACGCGTCCCCCAGCTCATCGGGTTCGCAGTGCTAGACGACAGGCGCTAGTGAAATAGACCTATTTTGCTGATGGTGTTGTATCAAACACCATACCCAGACAGTGCACGGTCCATGGGTAATGCTAGTATGCTGCTCCGGATTGCTATGCACAGACGGCTGCATATCTAGGTTTTGAATGTTTGTCCTCGGAGCCAGTTGTAACGGGCCGCCACATCTGTACAAACCACGTAATGCAGTAAGAAGTGTTGAGTTTCAAGCAAGACGTAGTTTTTGGACGAGAGCTGGCCGATGTATTCGTCCATCCGTCCCGCATATCCAACACCAACAATGCTTTTCCCAGCCAATTCTGCAGCTGGTAATCCCTGTGACTAGAATAGCGGGTCGCTTGGCGATACACAAAGTGGCGCGGGATGCGCCAAAGCGTTCCTCTCGCAGGAGCTGACCGCAGCCGAGACGAAAATACGCCTTTGTACCAGGATGTCCTCCTATTGGTTGCGAGGGAGGGTAGGGCTGTGCTACAGCCTGTAAAGCAGAACACAACCGTGCCCAGAACAAGGTCTTGAGTTGTGCAGTCTTACGCAGCGCATAGTCGGCACGTAGGACGCTCCGAACACACGGCGATGCTAGTGTCTCTTTCATACATATCAGTCTTATCGTGTCCTTTGATCTCAGAAAGGCTCACTGTGTATCATCTGTCGCATCACATCGATACTGCTTTCTGCCATGCGTTCTCCAATCGACTTCGAGAAGGCCCATCATTACGATCGATGTCGTGAAAGCTTCGACAGCGATGACTACCCTTCACCACACGCCATCGATGAATCTGAGCAGTCATTAACGAACGATTCTGCTCCTCCCCCACCTCCTCCACCATATTCGGCCTTCTCAGTCAATCGCAGAAGGTTTATCCTGGGTGTAGTTACAGCGGCAGGCTTCTTTGGACCACTGTGCGGAGCGGTCTACCTCCCATCTCTGAAGCTGTTTCAAAAGATCTTCGAAACATCAGAAACCGCGGTCAATGGTACAGTTTCAATGTACATGGTGGTGTTCGCTGTTGCTGCAAGTCATTCCTCCCGGTATACTAGAGCGCAAAACTAACAATCCACAGCCTCTCTTCGGTGCGGCAGCCTCTGACGTTGGCGGAAGGAAAACGGTGTACATGGTCGGACTCGGCAGTTTTCTCATTGCCAACACATTACTGGCTTTGCTGCCAGCACACATCGCTCTCCTATACTTTCTCCGTGTCTTCCAGGCATTCGGATCATGTATTGTCTTCTCGGTCGGAGCCGGTACAGTAGCCGATATCACAGAGCCCGCCAGACGTGCATCCGCCTTAGCATGGTTTCTCATGGGACCTCAACTTGGCCCCATCCTTGGTCCACTTATAGGCGGTCAGTTCGCAACCGAGACCAGATGGCGATGGGTCTTTGGCTTCCTCTCGCTCGCCAGTCTTCCAGTATACCTTGCCATCGTATTCTGCATGCCTGAAACCTTGCGGTCACTGGTGGGTAACGGCACAGCCCTTGCGCACCAGCCTTGGTTTTCGATACCAAAGTTCCGGACAAAACCGTGTACGGACATGAAAGTTCCGAAAGCTCCCCGACCATCGTTTCGAAAATTTATGCACCTTCTCAAGTATCCTCCTCACTTGATTGTCTCTTTCAATGGTGCCTTCCAGTTTGCCGGTCTATATGGCATGTACATATCCTTCCCCACCATTTGGCAGGAAGGGTACAACTGGACAACTGCCGAGGTTGGGTATGGCTTCCTTTGTCCTGGTATTGCGATGTTCATTGCTTCGATCCTCGTAGGTCGACTCTCTGACTATATGCGCAAGAAGGCCATCGCGAACAGTCCTGATGGCAAGGTTGCACCTGAGCGGAGAATCGCCATCCAGATACCCGGATTTCTTATCGCAGCGGCTGGAAAAATCATGTTCGGTTGGTTCGCACATAATCACGTGCACCCAGCAGCTGGTCTGTTCAGTTCAGCTCTCGCAGCAGTTGGTGTTTCCGTCGTCTTCGTCACTAGCACTTCATTCCAGACTGAGTGTGATCCTGCTCAGACTGCCAGTCTAGTGGCATTAGGAGGATTTCTTCGCAATGTCGCTGCAGCGATCTGCGCAGCCATCATGGGTAGCATCCTGGACGGAATGGGCTGGGGATGGGCGTTCACCGGCTTAGGAATCTTGGACCTCCTCTGCATACCAGGAGTTCTTCTGATCTTGGTCCGTGGCGCAAAGTTCCGCGAGGCGTTGAAAAGAGAGCAGCAGCTAAATAAGTAAGTAGCTGGCTGACAACATGCTTTCGGTTTGGATTAAACTCCTCGCACGTGTCTGACGACTATGAGCGACAACTTGTCTTTTGGCATAGCGTGGCGTTGGTAGACATTTGGCTTTTTATATTAGCATGACACTTATGGAACAACGCATAATTCAACTCAACGTCGAGACATATCATATAAACTGTTCTGCAGGTGTTGTTGTTTTTTTTGATGCTATTGTAAGCACGAAACAGCTGGTTTGTGAACGCGGAAGCTTCGGGGGCGAGGATGAGCATCACCAAAGCTACCCCACGTCCCCCTAACGACGACCTCGGCACCTTGTAGCGGGTCAGCATACTGGGGTCGCATGCGCCTGCAAGGCGAATTGATAATCGAGCGGGTACGCGATAGAAGAAATGGAGATATCTTTCTGGAACAGCTGCGGAATTTACTACAAGGGCGAGTTTGGCCGGTCGCCGCGACTCCAACCTCTTCCGCCTAATTTGTCAGCAATACTCGCCATCCGTTTCGGTATAAAGAGCATGTAACCTGGCGACTATGACATCACTTCATCAGCGAAATCAATCTCGCACACCTACATCGTGGCGTTCAGAGCAAGTCTACGCAAAATGACCAACTTCAAGGTCGACATTGTAAGCGACACGGTGTGCCGTAAGTCCCCATGAAAAAGCATCCAGTAAATGGGTATTCGGCACTAACCAATTTATAGCATGGTGCTATGTAGGCAAGAAGCGCTTGGAAAAGGGTATCGCGGCCTACAAGGAGAAGCACCCTGATTCCACAGACACTTTCGATACCAACTGGTTCCCTTTTTACTTGAACCCCGATGCGCCAAAGAGCGCCGACAAGCAACAACTGTACGAGTCGAAATTTGGCAAAGAGCGCACAGCAATGATGCAAGAGCGCCTCTCACAGATTGGCAAAGAGGAGGGAATCAACTTCAAATACGGCGGCAAGACTGGAAACACACGCGATTCGCACCGGCTTATACAACTTGGAAAAACTAAGGGCCCGCAAATGCAGACCCGAGTGATTGAGGAGCTCTTCGCTGCATACTTCGAGAATGAGAAGGATATTACTACCCAAGAGATCCTAACCGAGGCAGGTGTCAAAGCTGGGCTGAATGAGAAAGAGATCAAGGATTGGTTGGAGGCAGGCAAGGGAGGCCCTGAGGTTGATAAGGAAGTGCAGCAGGCGCGTCGACAACAGATCACTGGCGTTCCCAATTTTACCATAAACGGCATGTATGAAGTCGGTGGAGCACAGGATCCGGCTGCCTTTGTACAGTTGTTCGAGCGATTGAAGAGACAGGAAGGTAACCTGTAAGCAGCTCGGTGTCCGATACCCCTCTTAGCAGATCCAATACATTCACATTCCTAATACCACCACGCCATCTCGACACACCATAGTAAATCGGCGACTTTTGTTTAGCTTCAAGCTTCTGAACACCTTCTATCCATTTTCGAGAACACGATACACAAAGTGGCGTATCCCTAGGCATGGTGGTATCTGACATCCATCGGATGGCGTCAGAAAGCTTGACTCCCGCCTATCGCGGAGCGAGCCTCCCGTAGCACCAAAATCAGCTAATTATTTGCGATCTGAAGTTCGTGGTGTACTGACACATCTGGTCACTTGACATGGTGTTACGAACTCCAAGCACCGGTGAACGCTTCCACCTTCACAAGGGCAACAATCTGAATCTCAACCACTAAGACCTGTCTCTGGCTGCAGTCAACTGATTTCAAATATTTATTTATTGAACAAGACTACGTTACCTACTAGGCAGATCTGAATAGTCTACTTGCTCGGTGTTTTGGCAGCTACACCTGGCATAGGCGGGTTTACGGAAAGAATCCTACTTCGCATCAGCTGTTCCTTGGTTGTTATGAACGCTTGCCTTTGCCACACGGAACGTACTTGTGAACGCTTGAAGCGCAAGGGGTCTACTCCTTCTAGGCGAGAACTGGTACGTGACTGTAAGTGTAAAGTATCAAGGGTTGCGGACAGACGCAGTATCGATAGCAAGGGGCTGTTAGAACCACAGGAAGTAACAGTTGCCAGAATATTGAAGGGCTAAGATATATTGAATTGTAAGCGACCAAGCGTTGGAGGTGTCGTTGGCGCCCGGAGCGTCCTAATGATTTCGGTGAAGACATCTAGGGTGAGACATCCATGATTACGGGCTTGCTACTGCGTTCGCAATTCTTGAGGATGCCGCGTCCCTATAAAGGGGCTTCCTTCTGCACAGATCTCTTACCTACAACTACGACCAGCCCCATCGGATCATCCATACCTAACACTTTATCATCCAATTTCTTCCAAATACCTAAGATTAACACCACAGGATGGAGCTCCTCACACTTGTCCTAAGCAGTGCTCTGTTCACTGCAGTTATACTCTTCCAATTGTCATTCTTGAGTCGCGCACCAAATCCCTTGGCTTGGTGCCGCCCATCCAGTCTCTACAGGGTTGGCAGTCTTCGCACTCTAGCTACGGCATGGTTGAGACGCATCGACTATGGAGCCGTGGTTGGACCGTTATATCAACCCAGTCCAAACGACAAGAAAGAAAGCACAGTCCAAAACATCATAGCATTGGCGGAACACCATGAGATAGCAGAGCTATTAAGTGATATGATTCAGAAAGACGGGGCAAATTCTTGGCCACCGAACACCAACCACACACATACGACCTGGCCTACGCCTCTACAACCGTACAAAGAGATATATCTGGAACTCGCACCCCTCCTTCCCCAAGCGACCCCTTCTCTAGATGACGAAGTCAACATCTTACGTATAGAGACTTTCCGACAGCGATTTCGCGATTTACTCCATGACCGCGTTGATCTCGTCGAAGTTGCAAAGGTAAGGAGAGTAGCAACGATTATACAGATGGCTAACTTGCTAACGAAGCTGTTAGCTTTTCCAAGCAACTGATGCGGGATGTTGGGTTGACTTTACCCGCGAGACGTACAATGCCTTTTACTGCTGTGTTGCCGTCAGCCGACATGCGTATAGATGGGCCACCATACCCATCGTCAAAGCCGCCCAACGAGAGAGAGAAATTGACTTGCCTATCGAACTGGTTGAACCTTGGATCGCAATGCAGAGACACTTCGGTTGTGCGTCTGACGCAGGGAATAATAGTACGTTGCCTAGTTGCTATAAGTTCCTTGCTACAGCAAAGCTGACTGAACCATCTAGCAAGCAACGTTTTGCTCAATTTCGATCGCAGGGGCACCTACATACACAGGATCAACACAGGAATGGAGCTGCAAGTGACATCCAGCGAAGAGACTTTCTTCCGCATCTTCTACGACCTCGAAGTCTTCGGTGTGCCCGTCTACTACGACATGGCACGATCGATCATCACCTTCACACGTGGTGACAACGCAGCTTGCGCCATCCATGTTGCAAATATTGCATCACAGACGCGACTTGTACTCGGCACCTACATGGACAATCTGCATGATAAGATGATTGCACATTCTGTCTGGCTGTCAAAGGTGCAGGGCTTCCAGGCGTGGGGCATTGGCCATTACGATAAGGGAACAGACAAGTGGGAGACGTTCGATGGGCTCAGCGGTAACCAGGTACTGCTATTCCAGGCGCTAGATGCGTTTTTGGGAATTGAACAATATCTTGCGCCAAGAGACATGGAAAGGAACTTGCCAAAGAGGCAAAGAGAAGTATGCTATGCTTTCAGAAAACACTCATTTCGTCGATCACTCGGCCAGGCAGATATGCATGACAAGAATATCGTGGAAATAGTGCGGAGTTTTGAGGAGATCCTGAGACGGCTGAGAGTAAGTACTTCACATCGAAACCTGAACTCGGACAATACTGATGCAAGGTGCAGTTGTTCCGCGCAGCGCATCGTACGAGATCGAAAGCCTATCTATCTCAGCCTGCGCCTGAACGGATGCCTATGACAGCTGGAAAGTCGTTACTAGATCCAAGTCTTGATGCCAGTCTGGCGTTTCTCGACGGCTTCATGGTTCGACGGCTGGCGCAGACGGTATAGACAGAGAAGGCTTCAAACATAGGGTTCTTGGAATGTGGGATTTGTGGGATTTGAATAGATGGTAGATGGGGTCATGGATATGCTAGTCGTCTGGAATCGGAGACATGTAAGAAGCGATGTCGAGGTTCATGGTACCGCTCGTGATGACCAATTCGTATAAAGAAGCCGCTAGTCTTCACCTCGGCAAGTGCAACCCAACCACAACCCTCGCGATGCGCGTTCTCCGTCACACTCCTATGACACTGCGGAAGTGATGATGGCAAGCACGAACGCCATGGTCATGATGCTCCGGACGCGCGGGTAGTACAGTATGTAAGCACCGAAGCCATGTGGCATGCGGGTGGCTGTGGCGGTTAGCGCATGTGCCATTGCATCTGGGCATCTGCAGGGTTCACGTCCAACAATGCAAGGCGCGCCTCCGCAGCGCAACGCTCAAAGTCCTGTATCGCCATGTCCTAGGTCCTGATCAGAATCCACGGGCTACCACGTGCACCATGGCCAACGAAACGCCCCCACAAACCCCGGCTGAGCGCCGCTTCCTGCGGCCCAGTGTAAGTCGCGTCTCCGGGCAGTAATGCAGGCGATGAGCTCACCATGAGATACAGCTACGCAGCGCGACCATGGTCCAACCCAAGACGGGCGAACGCGTCAAGAAAGCCTTTACTCTGCGGCGATCCCAACACCGACCCTCCGAATCCTCCGAGTTTCTGCTTGCGCCGGGCCAATACGATGAACAGCGGCACCGGGACATGGGAAGAGTCGAACTGGCCAGAGTCATAGTCCGGAACAAGTGTCGACAAGCCTACGCGTATGCGACAAGTGATATTGGAATCGGCATATTCAAATGCTCGCTGGCTTATGTTCTCGGGTCCTTGGCCACCTTCGTCCCAGCCATTGCAGGACTGCTGGGCAAGAACGATGGAAAGCACATAGTCGCCACCATTACTGTTTATTTCCATCCAGCCCGCTCAGCCGGTAGCATGATCGAGGCAGTCATCTTGGCCTTTGCCGCTTTCATGTATGCCGCCTTCGTCTCCTTTTCCAGCATGGCTGTGTCTGCATACTTTGGAAACCATGACCTGTTAGTACTAGGCCATGTCATCGTGCTCGTTGTCTTCTGTGGAGGAGGCCTGGGACTTGTTGGATGGACAAAACAAAAGCTGGGCAACCCGCTCGTCAACGTGGCTTGCTCCTTGACTTCACTCGCCCTCATCACCATCCTGACCAAGGAGGGTGCTGTCCAGGCAGCCAAGTTCTCCTACGTCAAGGTCTGGCAAGTCTTGAAGATGATAATTCTGGGCTGTTCCGCCTCAGCCCTAGTGTCGCTCCTTGTGCAGCCAAAGTCGGCGCGCAACGAATTCCGTGACACTTTCATAAAGTCGACCGATGCTATGGCCGAGATGCTCAACGGCATTACCCTCAGCTTCCTTTCCGGTGCGGAATCAGATCTCAAAAGCGATTCTTATGTCGAAGCCTCCAAGAAGAGCCAGTCCACATTCAAGACTCTTGTAAAGAACTTGGGAGAAGCCAAGTTTGAACATTACGCTCTAGGTACTGAGGAAGAGTACAAGATCAATGCCAAGCTTGTTAAATGTCTGGAAAAGCTAATGCAGAGCTGTGGAGGACTGCGGAGTGCTGCTGAGACTCAGTTTACATTATTGGCGCAGTCAGAGTCGGAACCAAATGGGGCGTCGCACCAGCCTATACCTGCCAACGGAACCGTTACCTCGTCAATATTTTCCGAGCATACCATGTCACTAAGCCCGCCACAACTATCTCCCAGTCTCAGCCATACCGAGAGGCGCACTAGCATCCTCGCCTCCATCGATGAGCTGCCCGAGAGTTCTGCTGAAGCATCCGCATACCCCTCAGCAGCTGGATCCGACGACGAGTCCACTCCGACCAAGAAGAAGTCTGGCCAAGTCACGAATCTTTTGCAGTCGAACCTTACGCCTGCTGACATGTTCTCTGTGTTTATTGCTCAATTGGGGCCACCAATGGTATGTTCAGAAAGTCCAGTCTGCTACCTGTACTAACCTCAATAGAAATCTTTAGCATACACGTTACGTGAGGTCCTCTCTGAACTACCTTTCGGACCCGGGCCCGAGTACAACATGGCTATCAACGAACACTTTCGTCACAGTCTGGTCGACGCGAAAGCACTGTTTTCAAACGCACGACGAGAAGCTCTTTCGGCTGTCTACAAGAACAAGATACCAACCAGGGCCAGCTCCGCAGAGGTCGCAGCCGACTTTGAAGAGGTTGCCGCAAGTTGTGGGTACTTCAGTTCGTCGTTGTTGGATTTCGCCGAAGATATGGTCACGTTTCTTGATATTCTTGAAGAGTTAAAAGGAAACGTCAATCGCTATCCGCGACAAAGAACCTACCATTGGCTAAAATTCTGGCAACGTGGGCGCAACAAGACTACATCCGGAGATGGCTCGGAAGAGTCCAGTCTTGTTGATGAAACAGAAGCCCAGACACCTGGAGGCTCGCACGAGATTCATAATCCCATCTACCGGAAGTCGACGCGGGGCGATCCATACAAGTCAGAGAATGAGCAGCCGCTGTCATACCGCATATGGACTTCATTGGCCGTCTTTAGGAGAGACGACCTGAAATTCGCTGTCAAGGTTGGTATAGGTGCAGTCCTCTACGCCATGTGGTCATTCATCCAATCGACCCGGGGATTCTACGGTCATTGGCGTGGAGAGTGGGGCCTGTTGTCGTACATGTTGGTTTGTTCGATGACTATCGGTGCCTCCAACACCACTGGTTTCCAACGTTTTGCTGGTACATGTCTTGGGGCTGTACTTGCCATCGCCGCATGGATTGCAGCTGATGACCATGCTTTCGTTCTGGGATTTTTCGGTTGGCTCATCTCTTTGTTCTGCTTTTACATCATTGTGGGCAAGGGCAAAGGGCCTATGGGTCGCTTCATCCTGTTGACTTACAACCTTTCTGCACTCTATGCATACTCGCTGTCTGTCAAAGACGAGGAAGACGATGACGACGAGGGCGGTATCTCGCCTGAGATATGGGAGATTGTGCTTCATCGTGTGGTCGCTGTGATGGCTGGTTGTCTATGGGGCATCATCGTGACGAGGGTCATCTGGCCCATCTCAGCACGTCGCAAGGTCAAGAAGGGCACGTCTTTGCTATGGCTCAAGATGGGCTTGATTTGGAAGCGCGGCCCTCTGAAGACCTTACTTGAGTCCAACGAGAACTCGAGTCGAACGTATTCGTACATGTCCGAACGCGAAGAACTCGAGCTTCGTCGATATCTGTCTCATCTGGATACGCTGCGTGCATCAGCTGCTGCCGAATTTGAGCTCAAAGGCCCTTTCCCGGACAAGAGCTTCAAGATCATTCTAGGCGCGACTAGCCGTATATTGGATAGTTTCCATGCTATGAACGTCGTGATTCTGAAAGACTTGAAGGCATCTGAAGGCGAGAAAGAGGCTTTGAGGTATACCAAAAAAGAATGGATGGATCTGAGTTGGCGCATCAGTCATTTGTTTTCAGGTAAGCAACATCCATCAAGCTGTACAAAGCGCACCTACTAACACGCAATAGTCATGGCTTCTTCAATGAAGCTAGCTTATCCACTCAACGATGTACTGCCCAATGTCGAACACACGCGCGATCGATTGTTAGCAAAGGTCTTTGAGTTCCGACAGAGCGGACTGGGCAAAGTCATCGCCAACGATGAAGACTACGAGTTGTTGTATGCGTATGCGCTGGTGACTGGGCAGCTCGCTCATGATCTCAATATAATTGGGCAAGAGATCGAAAAGCTATACGGCGTGCTGAGTGAGGAGGATCTGAAACTACAGTAGATACACGCAATGCACAGAAGTGATGACTCTACACGGCTTGGCTACATTTCCTACGTTCTTTGCTACCAGGCAAGACTGGTTCGCTCAACAACAGTGTGTTCAAAGCATGTCATTGTGTAAGCTGCTGGTATATACACTAAATATGCGCTCCCTTTGAGTGCCTGATACACGAACAAACCGAAATGTTACGTTGAAAACACGCGTTGGTAAACTACACACTTCCTCTAGTTATCGAGAGGGTATCTGTCCAAGAACTTGAATGTGCGGAGACCCTCAGATAGCTGATCTACGACTGTGGACATGTCGCTGGAACTGTAGACGCCGGGAGTAGATGCTTCGATAGCGGCCGCGCTGAAAGCAGTGTTGTTGCTGGAACCGAGCATAGCGATGGGCTTACCGAAGCGGTATCCATCTTGTAGAATCTGGAGTGGGCGACCGGCAGGGTAGAGAGTCGAACGGGCGTTGCTGGTCGCGTTGCGGGGCGAAGCAGTTGAGTTGGAGTTGGCCAGGCTGTCGGCGGGTGCGAAGAGGCTCTCTGCGCTACCATCGACGATGATAGCATCAAACTGGATGGCGGATGTAGCCGAGTAGGTTTGATCGATATCGCTGCCAAGATGCTCGGCTACAACAGTCATTCCAACCTTGAGGTCAGCAAGAGCTGACTTCATGGCCTGTGCGTTTTCGCCAGAGGAGGATGCAGTAGTAAGGTAGCCGACCTTCAGGCCATCCAGTTTGAGCAATGGCTCACCAGAAGCGCTAACTCCAATAGTCTTGTTGTCATGGTAGTAAGTGTCATCTGCTTCCGGCGCGGTCATACCCAGCGCTTCTGCCACCCTTACGGCGATGTCGTGAGAGATGCGGTTGAGCTGGATAAGCACGTTGTTCTTGACAACATCGCTCTTCAGCTGCGAGGTCTCGAATCTCATGGCGTTGACCACGAATTGTTGCTCGACAGGCAGAAGCGAGTTGAAGAACAGGCGAGGCTGGCTCCAGACATCCGCGAATGTGCTGGACACGGATCGGACAATCTTTCCACTTGTGGAGCGGCTGGGGGCTGTGAAGAAGCCACGTCCGCTAGTTTGGTTTGCCTGTCGCGGAGATCCTTCGTTCAACGTGTTTGGAGAGTAGGCTGCCGTGTTGAGAGGTATGTACATCTGGCCAGCGCCATCCCTTTCGTTGTTATGCACAGGTACGCGAGGCTGGTTGATAGGAATTTGCTAATGTGAGGATCGAAGTTAGTCTTTGTCTCACGTTCATTTCGTAGAATCAAAACGAACCTCGAAGTTAGGGCCACCCATATTGCGGTTCAGCTGCGTATCAAGGTAAGAGAACATTCTTCCTTGAAGCAGAGGGTCTTCCGTCAGATCAATTCCGCGAACTATCAGGGTTAGCATATGCCTACTCTGCATGTTGTACAGTCACAATACCTAAGTGTCCAGGCTGGAACATGATTTGCTCTGTCTCAGCAAAGTAGTTGCGTGGGTTCCGGTTCAAGGTCAACTTTCCGAGCGGAGTGAAGGGCACGATATCCTCAGGTACAATCTTGGTAGGATCTAGAAGATCGAAGCCAAATCGAAGCTGATCCTCTTCTTCCATAATTTGAGCCTCGAACACCCACTCTGGGAAAAATCCTTGCTGGATACTGTCGAACAGATCTTGGCGGTGGAAATCGGCGTTCATGCCTGCGGTCAATTGCGCTTCTTCCCACAGCAAAGAAGCTTTGCCTTGTAGCGACCTGAAGCGAAACTTTACGAGCTTGGATTTGCCTTGGTCGGTCACGAAGCGGAAGGTGTGAACTCCCCACCCATCGGTATGCCTGTAAGACCTGATGGTACCGTGTCCTGACATTGCCCACAGAAGTGTGTGCATGGAACTGGGCTGTTGGGAAAAGAAGTCCCAAGCGGAGTCATGCGCAGTGGCCGCTGTAAAGAAGAAGCCAACACATTAGTTTACGTTCCACATGCATTTCGTGCATTCGCAACATACCTTGTGGGATCTCAGAATCTGGTTTTGGCTTGACGGCATGGATCAGATCGGGAAATTTGATTGCATCTTGGATGAAGAAGACCGGAATATTGTTTCCAACAATATCTATCAACAGGTATGGTTAGAAGGAGAACACAGCCAAGAAGAACTCTGATGATAAGAACTCGTAACGTACCGAAGTTTCCCTCGTCAGTGTACCACCTAACAGCGAATCCATGCACATCTCGCACTGTGTCAGCACTGCCTCTTGATCCGGCAACAGTGGAGAATCGCATGAAGATCGGTGTCTCCTTTCCTGACGAGCCCAAGAAAGATGCGCCAGTGATGTTTGAGTAATCGCCATAAGAAACAAAGGTGCCGTGGGCTCCGGCTCCTCTTGCGTGGACAGCACGCTCCGGAACGCGCTCGTGGTCGAAATGCATGATCTGTAAAGATATGAAGTTAGTTGAAATCTCATCAGTATTGTGTCTTCCAAGAACTCACCTTTCTTCGGAATGCTTGGTCCTCCAGAAGTGTTGGACCACGCTCGCCAGCTGAGAGACTCTCTTGCTCCTCGATTGGACCACCGACCGGGTTTGTCATGTACACATCGCTGTCGTCAACCTCGTAGCGGCCCATGAAATCGTCAGTCGACGCAGCATTGTCATCTCGGCGAACGACAGCGTCACCATCCATGTAAGGGCATCCTGCCTGAGCAATATGCAGCAAGGCAGTAGCAGCCGTCAGGATCTGAACTCGCACCATCTTGAAGTAGACAGAGATTCTGGAAGACGTGAGCTACAGAAGAGAGCGGACAGCTGTGGATTTATACCGCCTCACAACGTCAACAGCAACGGCAACAGAGCGGTACGACCTTGTAGCGTGCACATCTCGACATGGATGCTAGTTTAGACATCATCGCTCCACAGTCCTGAATTATCGAATAGCACGACTTGTATTGGACAAACCGAACGATCATCGCGCGTTTGGGAAATTCCCGGATTAACGGTACCCACTTACGGCGAGTCTATTCGAGGCACTTGTATGGATGCCAAGGATTTGGAGGCTGGGACGTTGACCTGCATATACATGATGCACGCGTAATTCCACAACTGGGCAGAACGCCGCCTTGCAGGCAGGATGTGATGAAGATGGGCGTGATTTCTCGATCTCGTCGACTGCCGTACATCGTTACGCCGGTATCACGCCGAGTTTTCCTCAGATTGATCAGCGTGTTTGTGATCCTGGTGGTTCAACAGCCGAAGACTCAAGCCGCGAGACTAAACTGCCAGCTTTTTAGGTTGGATTGACTCGCTAATAGAATAGCAGTTGCGATCTCTTCGTTGATGATGATAGTCACGTCAGGTCACCGTGCCACTTAGCCAAGAAAAAAAGCGGAGCTAATCCTTGGAATCCGGGTGAGGTTGTCGAGTTGAGCAGTAATTTCTCGGCATCTTCAACAGCTTGTTGCCAAATGCATTCCTGCACTGTGCTGTGCTGAGATCGTTGCGTTCTGATCCACGGATAGGCCAAAATGCGCCGTTGGACACAGAAACATCCGATAATGACGCGGCAGCCGGCTTGGCACTGTTCACTTCTCCAGGGTCCCGCTCCCGAAGTTGATCTTTTCTCGGTGCTTATGAAATGCTCATGGTCCAGCCGCCCCCGGATTGGCGTGATTGGTAAGTCGAAACCGGCCATTTCGCCAAGTCTTCGACTGTTAACAACGCTACCAGGTAAGCCTGAATAGCGCAAAGAATAGTAGCCTGCTATATGCAAAGCGTTCGTTCGCTGCACATTGCATGGCTAAGTTCGGGGCTGGGTACCGGCAGTCAGCGCATAGCTCGAGAGGAGCTTGTCGCGCCCGAATGTTGTAGTATTCCAGCCTGATCCTAAGGACATATGTGGTTACATGGACCATGCTGTTTCGTTTCATGAGGCCACAAAACTACAATAGCTGTTAGGCTGTGATGGATCAAGAATGCGTGAGGGCACAACAGACGCTGATCATACCCATGTATTAGCTTTAGCGGTGAGCATCTAACCAGCTGATGGGGAGTGAGATGGTAGCTGTAGGTAAAACAGATTGGGTCCGCGGAGGAAGGTCGATAAGGGCACCCATAAGTGCATAAAGGAACAAAAGGATGGTCATCTTAGGTGACACCGGACATCCTCGTCGCAGTCTGGATCGTTCCTTGAGGATCACCCCTGACGCAGCGGGAAGGTCGTACCGACAAGATAAGATGCGAAGCGCCCTTGGAAAGCCAAGTGTTTTTCTTTAGACATATCACACTTGGCCACCTCCACGTGTGTTAAGGCAAGTTGCCCACAACAATGTCCTGCCGTTTGGATACAAGCGCGCATATGTACTACTTGTTCAGATGTGGCTGACACAGAGTGATGTAAGTGCGCGTTCCGGTACTGTGGATCCATGCAGCCTTTTGTATCGCAGCTAGAGAAATCGAGTATAATATATTTTTCTGAGATTTGTCAAATGGCTGCGCTCTTTTGAATCGCGTACTTACATGGTATTGCAACAAGCCAACAAATACGCCCGTGAGTGAGCCTGGAGGTATTCAGTACGACTTTTGTTCGCAATGACGAGCGCGAACATAAAGCCAGAAGCACCTTACAGAGCCCCTGACTGACGGCTACACTTCGAGCGTCCATGTATACTGTATAAGAAAGTGGCTTACCAGTGAGTATCCTCTGCGGTTACCTAGAAACGATACATGCTCGAACGCTACTGACTAGTAGTGTTGACAATATCGCAAGATCTATAGGCCTTGTGCAGCAAAGCTCGTCAAACATAGGCTTTGTGGTTTCGAGGCGTGGCAGCACATTGGATGTTGTTAAGGAGGCAAAGGGACTACTAGGCTGTGTCGTGATGATCTTGTTGGAGCTAGAATACTCAGGATTAGGGGCTGTATCACAGACAACAGCATCTCAGAAGCTTTCTCTTGTTACACCTGCTTTGACAGTCGCGGAGGTGAAGGTGCTACATGGCCTAGGCTCGTACACTAGCTTGCGGATATGCCGTCCGGTCGAATGAGTACGATAGAGATGGAAGGCGCATAG